ATGGGGAGCCTGTGGTGGTGGAGCCTCATGCAGGATCAGTTTCATGGTGTCAAAGCAGCACCAGCTGGATCGTTCCAGACACTTTAAAAGTGTTTGGAGCTGCTGCTCCAGAATGGAGCCAGACACCACCAGGCAGAGCGTGGCTCCATCCCACTGGAGTCACCCATAGCCATGAGATTGTTTGGAATGCAGTGTGCAGCCTTCAGTGGGGGCTAATTCATGCTGGGAGGGAGGCAGCTCTCCATCCTCAGCTATCCTGAGGGCTGTTCTTGTACAGCCACAGCCTGGAGCTGGAAGTTTGAGTGGTTTGGGGTGAAACCTGCTGCCCTCAGTGAAGGTGTGAAATTATGGAGCTGCTCCTGGGCACCTGCAGAGGGGAACAGAGGAGAGGCTGGATGGCCAAGCAGCTCTGAGAATAGAACTACAGCCAGATCCTCAGAGAGGGGAATTCTCCTGACTTGCTAGCCCAGCTCTTTCCAGAGAAGTGTGACTGTACAAGGTAATCAGTCACCCACAGAGCTGCTTTGAATTCTGCAGCTTGAAGGGCAGTGGGGCTGAGCACCACACCTCAGTGGGGAAAGTATTTGAGACTGCTCTACAATAGTTAGGGAATGGGTGGCACAGCAGTGCTGGTGTCTTGTGCTTGGAGATAAGCTGTAGGATCATGGAATGTCAGACCCTGAATTTCCTGTATGGAGGAAATTGCTTTGTGTGGATTTCAGGGTGTCACACTCCTCCTTGATATAATGAAGTCCCAGCACCTCCTATCCAACAGTGACAGAGCCACAGTAATTCTAGGTCATTAAATCTGCCTGTTTGCTTCCAGGAGCTCCCAACACCGCAGAATTGAGAATTTGTCGTGTGAACAAGAACTGTGGAAGCGTCAAAGGAGGAGACGAAATATTTCTGCTGTGTGACAAAGTCCAGAAAGGTAACCTGGACTAGGTTTTTTCTCTCTCTTTTTCTCAACTGGACACATTCCATGACCATTTTCCTGCTGGGGGGCTGAAACCCTTCAGCACACACCTCGGAGCGGTTTGGGTTTGGAGCTGGATGGAACAGCTTCCGGGTTCGTGGGATCTCAGCTCCTCACTTTGCTCCCCCTTTTTTCTGCTGCAAGTTCTCAGTTTTCCAGCTTGACAAGCATCTTCTCTTTCTCCTGGTGCAGATGACATAGAAGTCAGGTTTGTCCTGGACAACTGGGAGGCCAAGGGCTCCTTCTCCCAGGCCGACGTCCACCGCCAGGTCGCCATCGTGTTCCGGACGCCGCCGTTCCTCAGGGACATCTCCGAGCCCGTCACCGTGAAGATGCAGCTGCGGAGGCCCTCGGACCAGGAAGTCAGTGAGCCCATGGATTTCAGATACCTGCCAGATGAAAAGGGTACGGTTCCAACCATGAGAGGAGCTTCTGAACAGCCATGGCCAATGCAGGACTCGTGGTGGTGGCTTAATGAATAGGAGATCCACAGCACTGCTTTGGCAAAGTAGAGTTTGGGGTTTTGAAAGTTACAGCAGTCAGTTCATTCCCTCTTTCAGTGGAATTACCAGAATTACTGCTGGGTAGCACTGGCATGGTTTGTTAGTGCTGCCATGCCTGCAATGTTTTCCTTTAAGTAATTCCTCCTACAACTTGGTGCCACTAGGGTGATCCTTTAGGCCTTCCTTAAAGAGAAAAGCAACACTTTCCCCTTCCACTCCTTTCTCTCCAGATCCATATGGCAACAAAGCAAAAAGGCAGAGATCAACGTTGGCTTGGCAGAAGCTCATACAGGACTGTGGTAAGGAAAATTTTTGTCTTTTTCTTCTTGTTTGAGTGAGCTTACATTTAGCTGGAGCTGTTCTCTGTAAATGCTGCACACTCATGTTGTGTTCCATCACAGGATCCAACACGATGGAGAGGCCCAAAGTAGCCTCATTCCCTGTGGTCACTCCTGAAGGGAAGGCGATTAAAAAAGGTGGGTTTTTGCCTGCAGTCTGACAGTGCTTTAAACAGACAGTGCCCTCTCTTTGCTTGAAATTCTAATCTCTTGAGGCTTTCTTCCTGTAAGACAGTGATGCTTCTGACTGTACAAACTTCAAGCTATCAGTTCTTTGTGTCACCCTCAGTATGGGCCATAGAGGGGTGAAGTAAGCTGTGGCTGTGTTCACAGGGGTCTTCAGATGAGGGAAGAGATGAGGATCTGACACCATGTTTCAGAAGGCTTGATTTATTATTTTATGATATATATTCTATTAAAATTATACTAAAAGAATAGAAGAAAGGATTTCATCAGAAGGCTGGCTAAGAATAGAAAAAGAAGGAATGATAACAAAGGCTTGTGGCTTGGACTCTCTGTCCGAGCCAGCTGGGCTGTGATTGGCCATTAATTAGAAACAACCACATGAGACCAATCACAGATGCACCTGTTGCATTCCACAGCAGCAGATAAACAATGTTTACATTTTGTTCCTGAGGCCTCTCAGCTTCTCAGGAGGAAAAATCCTAAGGAAGGGATTGTTCATAAAAGATGTCTGTGACAGTAAGCAGCTCTCTTGCTGCTGCCCACAACTCCGGGGTCCATCCTGGACAGCAGTGAAGCAAAGCAGACAGTGGAAACACCCATGCAATCTTGCCGTCTTTCCTTTGCCTTTTACCACTTGTAATTTGAAAAAGCCCCTAAAAAGTGGCATTCTCTCCGTAGAACCCAACGTGTTTCCCTCCACGCTGATGATGTCCTCGGGGTTGGGAGCCCTGTCCACCCCGAGCCAGCTGTACCCGAGCTGCTCGCAGCCTCCGGCGGGGCCGAGCAAGCAGGACTTGCTGAACACCCCGTTCTGGGCGCTGGGCTCCCTCCCGCACAGCAGCAGCTTCAACACCGAGCCCCAGGGCAGCGCCTCCCTGCCGGCCTTCCCCGACGGCGCCCTGGCCTGGCCCGACGAGAAGGACTCGAGCTTCTTCCGGACCTTCGGCAGCACCAACGGGATGGGCGCCGCGGTGCTGCCGGGCCCCGAGCTGCAGCAGAGCCTCCCCGGCGGCGGCGCCTCGCTGGCCATGGACACGGAGGACCTGAGCTGCGGCAGCCTGAGCCTGGAGCGCTTCAGCGCCGTGCTGGCCACGGGCAGCCAGCGGCAGCAGCCCCAGCTCCAGCTGCCCCCGGCCGGGCCGGGCGGCGCCGCCTTCCCCTCAGCGCAGCCCGGCCTGGCCGAGCCCGCCTACGGCTTCATGGACGCGGAGGGGCTGGGCGAGCCCCGGCTGGGCCAGCAGGGCGGCCTGGCCGACGGGCACTTCTACGACACCGACGGTGTCCACACCGAGGATCTCTACCAGTCCTTCCCCTTCGATAACATTTTGCAGAGCTATCACCCGTGAGCCTGCGCCGGCTGCGTAAAGCTCCCCGGGTGCCTCTGCGTGGAGCGGAGTCATTTACCCTTCTGGAGTCCCTGCTTTGTCTTTCAGAATGTTGCTGTGCAAGTTTCAGGACATAACTTAAAGGTTATTTATTGCAGCCCACAGTGGTGCCCCTAAAGAGGGGGGTGGGAGTAGGGTTTGGGGTTTCTGTACCTTAAAGTATCTTGTAGATGTATTTTTGGAAGTGGGAACTGTTAACACTTAAAGCTTCCTTACCTTTGGGGACTGTAAAAGCTGGCATCTTCAGAAGGGTTAAAATTTCGAGTACTTCACAGGGTTGGAGTTGTTTTGAAATAGCCATTTTTGCTATAGAAATCAAATTTAAATTTTGATAGTACAGAAATTAGGAAAAAAACCCTGCACGTGAGCACTCTCATTCAGTCTTGTCTAATGAATGGCACCTGAGTTCTGCTCAACTTACTTGAAAGATTTGGGTTTTTAACCCCCTTTCTATAAATATCCTTCTCCTAAAATGAGAACATGTATTGATTTTCCACGCTGTCACCACACTCCGTTTGCTTTGAAGGCAAATTTACTCGTAAATTTTTTTTAATGACTATGTCATTGTTAGATATATTTAAAAAGACCGGAAGGTTTGAGTTTTTAAATAGTCCAGCTCTGTTGTAAAGGAAATCACTGCACAAGACAAGGAACAGAAAGTGAGGACTTGTCTGCGCTCAGCCAGACTGCACAATTTCACAAGCCATGCCCCTGTAGCTTTAGGAATGAAGCTGATATTGCTCTGCAGCTTGTGTGTGTGTGTGTAGCTGCCACGTGAGTGAGATTTGGAAAGGCAGGAATCTCTGGAGCCAAAGTATCCACTTACTCTTTCCTCAGGTATCCTGGCAGTTTCCTGCTATGCAAGTGACTGCTTCAAAGAAGGCCCAGATCCTGCCTCCCCAGCACCACCCCCTCCCAGGAGGGCAAAGCCAGAGGCTGCCTTGGTGCAGCCTCACCTCTATTAACAACTTTTAAAGCCATTTCAGTCTGTACTAATTAAAACCACTCCTCTGTCCTCTGTATCAGGAACCAGAAGTTCTTCCCACCCACTTGATTCCCAGTCTTCGCTCTTAGCCTGAGCAGGAGCTGTTCCTGACACCTCCAGCTGGAGGTACCTGGCTGGGTAAGACACTCTGGCCTTGGCAACTTTATTATGCTGTTATTTTTTTAAGAAGCAACACAGGGAAATGTCTGAGTATTTCTAAGGGACACAGCTGCTCTTTAGGGCAGGTAAGGTCCCCGTTGTCACCTTTTGGTGATGTAAAATTGCACTATGGGCACAACAACAAAAAAAAGCAACAACTTGTCCTCAACCCACCCCCCAAATCAAACAAGCCACTTGAGATGTGGAGTTGTACACAAGGAAAGGTGCTCTAGAACCCCTCTGTGGCTTTCAGGAAAGCAGGGATGCCTTCCCTGCAGGAATCCATTGCATTGGGAGCACTCCAGTGCTGCTGCTGGAATTCCATCAGTCAGGTGAGCTTTGGAAACTGCTTCCCCTGATTCCAGGTGCACAACAAACTGAAAACTGTTGTAAAGCAGTTTTTCCTCACTTCTGCACCTCTCCTCCACACTCCTAAGCAATAGAAAGGCCAAAGAAATACACAGAAAGTTTGAATTGTGTTGTTTATTCAGTTCTTCTTTTTTTTTGAAGTTCTCAGTTTTAACTATATTAAATGTAAACATTTTGCTCACTTCAGAAAACCCTTTGCTCACTTTATAAAGCTCTTTGTAGTACAATTTGTTTTTACCGTATAATTAAATATTTTCCAAGTTCTGTTTTCCTTTGTAAACGAGTTGGTTTGGTAATTAAAAAAACTGGTTATACCAAGTGCTCAGCTTCTGCAGCCTCCTCGGCCTCGTGACGTCCCTCACCACGGGAAGGCAGGGAAAAGGGACAAGGTAGGTTCTTGGTTGCTTATCCTGGGTTTTTTGGGGTATTTTCTGCTCCCTGTTGCTGGTGGCCCCTATAAAACCTCAAGCACGTGAGGGCTGATCTGCCTGAGCAGGTTTTGTGGCAGAGCTGTTGGGTTTTAGGGCACAGATGCTTTTGGCTGAGCTGATGCAAAACCAAAATGCAGGGGGGAGGCATTAGAGGTGTCCAGCTGGGGAAATCCAAGATGAAATCTGGCTCTCACCAAACACCCAGTTTGAGCACTCACAAAAATACTCCTAAAAATCAGCTGAAGGCCCAAGTGCAACATGAATGTTATTGCTGCAATATTCAGTATGTGATGGTTACAAAACTGGACTGGAAACCAAGTTCAGAGCCCCAGTTTACATTTCTCAGTTTCATTTTTGCCCGTGATTGGTGCCCAGGAGCTGCCTTGAGAGCTCAGGGATATTTGCATATCAGCTTCCACCCTCCCATTTGGATACTTCAGATTTCCCACAAAAATAAACAGCCTGGGAGTTTTGGGAGGAGCTCTCTGCCTTGCCCAGAGAAGAGCTCAGACCCAGCACCCTGAGCTGGATCCAGTCCAATCCTTATCCTGGATTCTGCCTGGGATCCCCAGGTGAGGCAGGAGCTGCACAGGGAAGAGCCTTGTGTGTCCTTGGCAGCCCTTTCCCTCTCCCCTCTCTGGCTCCATTGCCCCTTGGAGCAGCTCTTCCCATGCCTGTTGTGTCCAGAGAGCACAGTCTTGTTTACAGTTTTTCTTTCCCTTGTAGATTATGGAATTTATAAATTGTATTTTAGCTCACTGTGAGTTTCAAGAAATCATGCAGATATGAAATTCCCTTTTGTTTTCTGAATTCAGTTTGTTTAGTTTTCCATCATTAATGACATTTCCTTCCTGGCTGCAGATTATTATCTGAGAACTACTCATGGAATGTGTTGCTCATAAGAGCTTTAATATTAAAACCAAAAATAGTATTTCTGTCTGAATCAAATTTCTGTGTTAGAAAAACAGGAGCTTCTGAATTACTTACGTTACAGACACAAGTTGAGAGCCCAGCACAGGCAGAGCCTTACAGGAGCTCCTTAAAAATGTATTTATTAACGCTTTTAGAGCCTCCAGCTCAAGCTGTGATGGAGCTGTTGTAGCATCACTGAATTCAAGGGAAGACATCCCAGTCATCCTCCCTGTCCCCAGACAGTGGAGGGTAACTTGTCTTGGCAAATGTTACCCTCTTTAGCCCCAAAATGTTAACAAAGAGCTCTGAGATTCCAAACCTTAATTTCTTGTTGATAGTTTAACTCTTCTGTACTTCAGGGAAGCACCTCCCTAATGGATTAACATGATACTGGTATAGAAAATGACTTCCTAAAGACCTTGGTGGTGCTTAGTAGGAAACATTTAAAATAACCAAAGAAAACCTCAGATCTTCCCTATTCCAGTTCCTAGGCTGTATTCAACTCTTCCAGGCATCCATCCAAAGTGAGGCACAAGAAAAAATTTATTATGCTGCTAAATCAGAGGTTTTTATCTCTCTCTCTCGATACCAGCACCCTGTGGTAGCTCCTGTTTCTGCCTGCTCGTTGACATTCTCGGTGTTCCTGTTTTGTTCCTGTTTTTCTTTAGATTCCCATCACCCACCACTGTCAGGAGTTCACAGTCTTTTTGTACATTGTGACTCACTGGGGAATTCCTACTCCTCAAAAGGGCTGAGGAGGCCTCAACTCTTGTTTCTAGGAAGCATCCCCAATGTTTTTAAATGAGAAAAACTTGGTTTTAAGTGCAAAGTTTTCCTCAGAAAATGGTTTTTTTTCCCCTTTGAAAAGCACTCTGAGAGACAAATCTGCTTATCTCTACTGCCACTGACCAAAACAAAGGCAGTGTCTCAGGAAAAGTTGGGAGTGGGTTTCAGGTAACTCAGTGTTACCTGCATCCACACAAGGAAAGCTGTAGTATCTAATAGAAAAAAAAATTTAAATCAAACCTGGCTTGATGGAGGGTTATAGACATTGGCTCCCCAAAATCTTTTTATGTACAGAAGAAATAAAAGTAAGGCTAGAGACTGAACCAACACTACCTGGTCCTGAGTGTGTAAAGTGGTGCCCAAGGGTATCATCCTCTGGCAGATCAACATGATCCCAATGTTCCAGGGACACCCTTGGCACCCAGGCTGTGACAGATCCTGCACAGTGTCTGGTCACCAGCTGCTGCCAGGGAGCTGCTGCTTCCTCATCCCAGCTCCAGGGGTTAATCAGCCAGGGCTGGAGGCCAGTCAACATCAACAGACTAGAACAGCAGAGGGGGGGAAAAAAGGCAGCAGAGTTGGTATTTTACAGATACCAAGAGAATCACAACTCCTTTTGCTACTACCTGGCAGCACCACTCTCTGCTGGGCTGCATTTACAAAGAGGAGTAGCAGTAGGAAATGTATCCTGTGGTAAGGAATGTCGATCCACTTAGAGCAATTCCATGGAAAGCATCTCACCAGGGCAACTCCCTTAGTAATTTCCAGGAAAGACAAACAGCAACCAACTCACCTCTACATCCAGCTCCAGAATGTCAGCAGTTCTGTTCAGAAGGGACCCAATGTTGGGCTTTGTTCTCCCAAAGTCTCCGTGCACAAACTCTTTAATGTAGCTGGAAAACTCTGGCTAAGGAGAGGTGCATTCCACACCAAAGAAACCAAAAGGGGGGGAAAAAAAAGTGGTTTTTCTACTCCTAAGTAATTTCTTAGTTAATATCCTGTTGAGCCCATACCTTTCTTTAGGAGAGCACCTAATTCCTGGCTTCTGACTCTGGTGCCAAAAACTGCACTGCTGACCTTTATTTTGTTTCATTCCAAACTGAGTAGTGACTTTAGGACAAAAGTGTGACTTGTAAATAGCTGTGATCTCCAGTCTGCACTGAAGTGCATGAAATACTGTGGAAAAGGTCATTTTTGGAGGCGAAAAGTTTTCAGTTAAATTAGAAAAAGCTGAAGTGTATTTTAACCAGCACAATTTTATATCTGTCACATACTTAATGAAAACTCCAATGTGAAATTGTGACCTAAAAGCAAATATTGTGCAGAGACACCACTGTGGGAGACCAGGGTTTCAAAACACTGCAGCCATCCGAGCAGGGAATTTCCCCTTATGTTGGGAAGATGAAACAGGAAAGCCTTATAAATATGATTGTCTGGCAAAAGATTTTGAGAATATGGAAACTATAAGTGAGATTGAAATGAAAGCAAGCTTTGAGATCCCTCAGTTACTGAACAACTGGGAAACAATGGTGTGGCCAGCTGAAGGTGATCCCCTTTTGATGGAACAACACCCTCTGCTTGCAGACAGGCCCAAGGGTCAGAGCAGACCCTACAGCTTGGCAGAAGGGCTCCAAAGAAGAGTTTTTAGGGTTTAAAATGTAACACAGTGTGGTAATGTAGTGATTCTTATAGGCTGTATGTAAATGCTATAGGATTTGTATCTTGTACTAGACTGGTTAGTGAGAATCAGAATATTCAACACAGAAGATTTACTGTATTGTAACGGGAACTTCGCTCTCTTATCCTCTCTTTTACTCTCTCATCCTCTTTACCATGCTCTTGCCTTCTTTCTCTTTACCTCTCTCTTAACTTCTCTGGGGCCTGAGCTGTGGCTGGCAGCTCCCAGCAGGGCCCTGCACCCAGGCCCTGTGCAATAAACCCCAAGTTCCACGACCTGGCTGCAGAGATCTCTCGTCTCCATCCATCCCCACCGTCCTACCCCCGTCAGTCCCACTCCTTTATGCCAGTCAGTGCCCCCAGGAGCTGCCTGGCCCCTCTCTGGCAGGCTCCAGGTGCCAAGGATACGTTCCTGCCTGTGTCCTGAGGTGCAGGCGGAAGTGGTGCTGGTCGATGTACTCGCTCCTCATGCTGTGGATGAGCCGGCAGCGCACGGCCAGCGGCCGCCGGTGCAGCACCCGCAGCGGCGTCTTCTGCTCCAGCCTCAGCTCCTGGTGCAAGGAGGGACCAAAACCATGAGGGAGGAAGTGTGCAAAGGCTGCCTGGATCGTAGGAACTGTGTGTGGTGTTGACTGGTCCCATCTCTTTTATCCTGTGCTCTGGCAGTTGAGTTATCTCGAGGCAAGACCAGTTTTTACCAAGTTTATCAAAGGAAAAAGGACAGCCCTCTCAGAGGCCTCGCATGAACACAAACTAATGGAATCACAAATACAGAGGAATAACCTTGAAATCTCCATAGCCCTTTGCTGGAATGACTCCAGGATTTAGCAGCTCACTCAGAGCCTCAGGGCAATCAGAAGAAAAAATAAATCTCACCCACAAAATGCTTTGTCTAAACTACAGCCAACCCCCTAGAAATAAAAGTGAGGGGGGAAAACCTTAAATGAGATTAGATCTCAGAACAGTCTTTTCAGAAGTTCATTCCCAACTCCCTTTCCCAAAGGAGAGGCAGCAGTGTGAAAGGCAACTTGTCAGGAGCAAGGGAAGCTAAAGGAAGGACTTCCCAGCAGTTGCCTGCCTGAGCTGCAATGGCTTTGAGAATGAGCTCATGGGCAGCTCCCATAGGAAATGGTGCAACACAGCAAAAACTGAACCCACTTCTCCATCAGGCCAACATCTGGAGAAAGTTCTCGTTCCTGCATATGCTGAGCCTTCCTGAGGCCCCTTTGCACTCTGACATAGACATTTCCACCTCCAGAGTGCTGCAGCTGTGGGAGCATGGCTTTGGAGCAGAACAAAAGAATTTTTCTGCTCCTTTCACTCACACAGGACACTATTAAGGTAACAAAGGGGTGGAGATTTCCTCCTCTCCCAGAATTTGGTCTCCTGGAAGGTGAACATTACACAAGGATTTGTAGTCTCTGCTGACAGCCAACCCCTGTGTCCTGTTGGAGTGACTGGTGAAGGAAGGGTGGTATGGAAGTCCCTATAGCAAGAGAAACCCTGATTATAGAAAACAAAACCAAACAAAAACCAAGCACAGAGCAAGAGGTAGGCCCATGGATGGCCTGTATTTAACCCTTCCCTAGGCACCAGGACAGGTACTATTTAAATGAGCAACAAAAGCTCCTGCTACCTTGATATCATCGAGAAACGCGATGTCCTCTCTCTGTATCGCTTTGTCTGTCCAGATCAAGGCACTGTAGGTCTTTGTCTTCTCCTCCTCACCTTCCTTCATACGACCAATTGCCTCTCTAAACAAAAGAAATTAATTACTCACTTAACAGAAGCATAATTACACAAGGCTGTGAGCAGGAGCACTTCCCAACTCCCCGAGCGCCGCTTTGAAATCCCTCGCCCGGCGACCATAAACACTGACCTGGTGACAAGCTGCAAATCTCGAACCTGTATTTTGTCTGAAGAGTCATTAATTGCCTGTGATATTTAAAGAAAGCACTCAGTTAGCAGAGCTGCTGGGCTGGAGAGGCAGCACGTGCTGCACACGTGATTCACCTGCTGCAGCCTCTTCATCTCCTCGGCGCTGAAACGGATCCTGCGGGGATTCACCAGCTCCATCGCAAAGGGCCTTCCTGGCAGCGGCACCGAAACAAAACACAAAAACATCTTGTTCAAAATGAATGCTGCATTTACACAGCAAGGCTGCAAGGTGTGAACACTGTCTGCTGCTACACAAACAGGGACAGGACTGGCAGGCTGAGGGATGGAGCATCGGATGCAAGGGAAGAAGCAAGGGAGGTTTTTTTTGGCTACTAAACCCCAGTATCAGCAATAAGTGCAAATTATGACTTCCCAGAAGACATCTTGTACAAGTCTGTGCTAATTAAAAAATAAAATAAGAAAAAAAGCTAATTAGCTTATTTTCTGTCACCTACAGCAATGCCCAGGTGCACAGCAATGTTAAATCCCACTCCCTCAGCTCAACATCTGTTGCCAGAGTTGTAACTCTGTGCTCAGGGCCAGGACAATCCCCAGCACAAGCCATGCCAAGAATCACACTACAGATCAGACAGCTACTGACACACAGAACTGTTCATTTTTACTTCTTCTTTCCCTCCTCCCTTGGCTACAGCAGCTCCAGTGTGTTGGAAAGCAGCTGACCTTTAGAAAGGACTCAGGTTCAAAAAGAAAACAATTCCCTCATGCAGTTGCAGTGAGGGAATTTGAAGGATCCAGCAGAAAACAAGAGAGGAGTCAGTCTGACATAAATGGCTTAAAAGTAGGGAGTGAATAAAATAAAATACTTTTAACTAACTATGCCTTCCCATGCAGCCAAGGCCACTGAGAAAGGGCTCCTGTTTCAAGCTGGTTTTATGAAGCTGTTGGACTTTGGGAATAACTTCTGAGATAAAATTCCAAAGCATGCCTGGTCACATACTTGGCATTCAGCAGGATCTGTCAGAGGAGCTCTACACACCCATTCCATCTCTGTGATTCACAAGGGGTTTCCCAAGCCTTACCATTGCCTAGTGTCCTTACATCCACATCTTCTCTTCCAGAGGAACTAAAATTAAAGCCTGTAACAGATTTAAACAAGGCAGGTGAGCTTTTATTTTACATTTGTGATTCTCTCTACAGCTTTTAAAAGGTGAAATATTTTCTTTCTAAACTTGTTTGCAAAATCTACTTCAAATCTACTTTGTAAACAGGAGCCTGCACTTCACAAACTGTGGGAATTCCTATTTATTCCCAAGTTTCCCAAGAAGAGCTCTCCCAATTCCTTGGCCTGAATGAGACTGCTACAACCAGACTAATTTATCCACTGGGAGGAGAAGAGGGGGAGGTAGCAGGGTTTTTTTCCAAACTACTATTTTAATGCAGTTTTTCCTTGGACCTTCTATGTCTGTAATTCCACATTTGTCAGATGACAAATGATGGGCAGTGATTATTTCATCTGGACAATCCCTGGATGAGCATTTAGCTTGTGGGACTTTATGCACTGAGGAAAAGAAATGGTCAGAAACATGAGGAGCTCAAAAGCCAGGCAGAGCCCATAAATTTTTACCTGTGGCAAAAACCTTCTTGGTACAAGTCATTCTATGAATTACCAACTGTTAAGAAGTTTGGTTGAGCAAAAACACTGCCACATGAAACCAACACATCTGCATCATCAGATCCACTGAGGAGCTACTTTAGCAGGATAAAAGGATCTAATTACTCCCAGATCACAGCTAAATAAAGTTTACAAGCTTTAACTTGGAAGGAAACAAGAGGGATAAAGAGACATCAATTTTTTTTTCCATTATACTCCCATATTAAGTGGGTAGCTACCAAGAAAAAAAATCTTCTAGTAGTGATGAAAAATACGTATGGTAGGAGATCTCCTGAAGACTTACTGTCTGCCTTGAATTGTGCCATCAGATGCTCTGAAATCAATTCTTCCACTGAAGACTCCAGCTTCCTCTCCCCATCAATAATCCAGGGAGTCTGAGGTAAATTCCTGGAGTATTTGTTGTATCTTCCTGTAAAAGACAACCATGGTACTTCTAACCATTCCACAGCCATGAGTGAAAGCTGCACTCTTGCCCAGCACATTTCACTTCCATGGGAGCTTTTTTTGACAGCTCCAGATTGTTTTATGGCAGGAGCATGACACCAGCACTGTGGGTCACACATGGCTGTGTCCAGGGAAGGGGCAGTAACCAGGATGGACACTGAGAGTGGACTTGGGAGAGCCTGTGGCTGCAGCCCTGCCTACAGGAACCACCATCCTGTGTGAAATAACCCAGGCTCCAAGCCAGTTCTGCCATTGCCTCAAGGCTTAAGAAAAGAAACCCAAACTAAAATGCTTTGGCTCACTAAGGAACAGCATGCAAGGAGTGAAAAGTCCCCATAATAAATGAGGAGGAATGGCAGGAGTCTTGGGAAGGTGCCATGTAGAGATTGGCATCTTTGGGTGGTCCCAGTGATGTTTTGGTGGCACCTCTATAACACAAGAACAAGCCTGACATGGATGACCAATATGAGCTTTTCTGTGGACAGGTTTGGTAAGAACTGAAAATATTCCCAAAGCAAGGAAATAATTCATAAAGGCCAAGGAGCTTAAACTGCTTTCAACCTGAAACTTTGCAAATAGAAAAGCAAAGGAACTCAGAGTAGCTCTTGCATTGCTTTGGGCCTCTGACATCTCAGGGGTTTGGTTTCCTATCATATTTTCCTATCTCGAACAATGTTTCCTTTTGCAGTTTGAGCTGCAGAAAAAGCCACACAAACAAATGGGGAAACTGAGTAACACAGTTTCACTGGGGTAAATAATGAAAGTAGGGTGACTCATCATTCAGGTATAGCAGCCTCACGCTGCTAAATTCTCTTTCCATAAAACAGAAAAAGGAGAATTAGGTTGGCCATTTTTTTTTCTCTCAGCTCCCCATTCTAATAATTTTAACTTTTGATCTGAACAAGAGTAGGTCTAAAAAAACAGAAGGTGTTTCTTGGTTTGACAGCCCCATAATCCTTAAAAAAGGCTGGGGTGTAAACACTAAAGGTAAGGTCAAGAGGACAATGTTGTGCTTACAAATTAAGATCCCATCTAATTTATAAAAAGCAAAATATCTGGACTGTACTCAATAAATTCTATTCTGGATTTAGTTCTTCAAAAATTAAACACCTGCCTGAATTGTTTATTGGAGCAAAAGATAGACTATAAATAAAGACCAGTATTAAATGACAGGCAGAAAGCAAACCCTCTGTTTTGCTCTTCATACTGTTGAATTCTGAAAAAAACTACCCAATATACCAACTTAAAATAAAGCAGCATGTTTGGAAAAGCCTAAAAGGAACTGGATATCTTGGATTCAAAAAAGTGTACATCTAACTGTCTAATCAGTAATTAAAAAAATAAGGAATGGTTTATGTAGAATATCAACCACCCTGCCATTCACTTTCACACTTTTTCATTCTCCATTTCTTTATATTCAGGATTTTTATCATCACAGTATGTTGGATTTAAATTAAAGGCTGGGTTCTTTTTAGCAATAATCAGTTTGCATGTATTTAAATAAGCTGTTCCTACAAAGGACTAGGAGAGTGGCAGACACTCTGGCAGGCAGATGATAAAAAAGTTCAATCATCTCAACTCAGGGATGTTGCACTGCCTGAGCTGTTGCTGCACTGCCTGTCTCACCCAAACCTTTATAAATCCCACCAAGATCTGCAGCTTTGGATGGGATAATAAGCAGAGAAATCCAGATGGTGAAAACCTCTGAATCCAAATCCAAACCCAAGGAAGGGAACAGCACTGCTGGGAGCTTCTGGTGTGGAGGTGCCTTTCTCAAACCATTATTCTGAGGGGATCTGTAATTTTTTAACTTTTGACAAAATAATATCTTCAGCAGAGCTCAAATATAATTTCTTCCCCTTTCAAAGCACTCTTGGACAGAGCTGGGTTTGTTTCTTTGCTCCTTACACTTCATTACAGGAATTAACAAACAGCAAGAATCCTCTGGGTCTCAGGGCAGTGTTACAAAGTTCTCTTCAAGACAAGACAGCAGCAAAGAAATGGATCAATTTACCAGCCACAAAAACTGCACCATTATTGCACTGGATTTCCAGAGCATCACAGAGGTTCTTTGGTGAGCTTGGGGGACATGGAAAATGCCTGTATTAGAAAGAAAAAACAGAGTAAAGCATCATCACTACCAGAACATGATGGAGCATCACCAGAGCAGTAAAAAGTGCCTATTTTGGCTTCCCACTGTGTGTGATTTTTTACCATATTAACAGCACTTGGTGTTTTCTTGAAACTCAACTCCTAACATTTTGGAAATATGGGAATATTTCTTGTAAAGGGAAGCCTACCTTACAAACTCTAAAGTTCAAAATCGTCCTTTTAATTAAAAGAACAGGAGTGATTTTCTATTGCCAGAAAGAAAACATGTTTTAAGCAGTAAACCAACAGAATTTAAACAATCAAAAGTTCTTTTAAAGCCACCCTACCAGTACATACCCACTGGATATTTTCCTCCCCTCCCTAATTCTATATTAAAACACAATACTGAGAAATAGTTTCAGTATTTACTTACTTGAGAAAATCCTCTTCTTTTATCCTCTCCAGGGCTTTTATAACTGCCATTCTGGTGAAAACAGACTGCACAGTGAAAGAAAAAAATGAGTCAAGAACTAAGAAAAGCAAGGAAAGGATATGGCCCAGGAAGAAAAAAGCACTGAAACTTACACTGTGCAGTTCTGTCACTGCTCACTTGGGAGCCCAGGTCCAAATTTCCAAAACAGTTTAAAACCAGAATCCCAAATCCATGAACAGAAACCCAAAGCAGCTTCTTTTTCAGGAGCTAAATGCACCCAAGCCCAGCTTTGATGTGACAGCAGCAGGTAGTTCTGCTGAAGATAAGCCTGTTGAGCAGGAATCCGTTTCTGAAGCTCAAAACTGGATTGATTTTCAGAGCTGAGGGCTCTGAGCAGTGGGGCTGGGCACTCCCTCCTGCAGCTCCCCAGGGTGCAGCAAAGCAGCAATGCCAGTGCAGCAGGAGCAGAGTGCCAGGCTCTGGGCACAGCCAGCTGCTGCTGGGGTAACTCCAGGGGGAATTTACATTCCTGGGACAGCAGAACAAGTGTTGTGACAGCTGAGGTGAAATCCTGCTCAGGAGAAGGTCTCTAAATGAACCTGCTAAGCAAGCAAGGTCAGGTCTTGAAATCCACCTGGGATGGAGCCTGCTCCACTCTGAGGCTCCTCAAGGTGAAATGTTTTTTCTTGTGTCTCCTCTGAACTTCTCATTTCTATTCCTGCTGTGCCTCCTCCCTCCACCACGCTCTGTGAGATCAGCCTGGCTCCCTGCTCTCAGGAATCTCTTTGGCACCAGGAGGAGACTCAATGGACCCTCCCCAAAGCCTTCACAAGAACCTTGAAGAAGTCCAGGTTCCTCAGCCTCCCCTCCCAGGCATGTGCTCCAGCCCTGGGACTGCCCTGAGGGCTCTCTGCTGAATGTGTTTTTATTAAATGGTGTCTTTTTTGCAAACTGGATTAGGGACTTAGGAAAACAAACAAACAAACAAAAATCCCCATGGTCACTGTTTGGGACAATTCAAGTCTCGGCTCTGGAGAGTTCCTGGGTGTCTTCAGGAAAGCTGCTCTTTCTCCTTCCAAGCATAAATCAGAGATAATAGCATTTCCCTTCAGAGGAGCAGGAAAGCCCTGAAAGCAGCAGCAGGTTTAAATGACTATCTACACAGACAGCACAGACATTTTCCCTCAGAAGCCAGTTTTTACACCACTTCTCTGATTAACACAGCCCTTGAAGCCCAGCTTCTTTGTGAGGACAAACCTCTGACAGCTCTTCAGAGCTGGTATTTTCCTTTAGATTCCCCTACATTTTGTTGCCTGTGTGGATTTAACAGCCAGGCCCTGCTGCTTTAGCTCCTTATGTGGGATTTCCCCCCTTTTCAAGGGCAGCAATGCAGCAAGCAGTGAGTTATAACAATACAACTCTCCAAAAAAAGAGTGCTGCTTATTGGTCAGGTGGAGTAGAGTCAGCAGAATTCCTGGGCCAGACTCTGCCTCTGCCAAACGTTGGCAGGCTCTTCACCAGAAAGAATCAAAGGCCCTGCAATGGCCTCTGACAGGAGTTACTTTCTCCCTCTGATCACACCAACTGTCCCACTTGCAGCAGCTCCCCTCTGACTGGTTTTTCATCCTCGTGTGTCCCCTTTTCCATCAGTGGCTGTGAGTGTGCTCAGGGTCTGCAGCAAGTGGCAAGGTCCCTTTTCTTTCCCCCCTCCTCCAGAGGCAGGCAGGATAAAACCATCCTGCATGTATCCTGGCTTTCATTGAGATCAGAGCACGTGGAAACTGCAGTGTGATCATCTCCCTTTTGGCTGCTGAGTCTCATCTTCACAACGTGACTTATCTGAACTGCTTCACCCACAGAGAGCTGGAGGATCATCTTTTATGCTGCTTTTAATGCATGACAATCAAATTCCTAGCTCTTAAGGGAGGTATTTACAGAGAACCTTCCTAAAATGATGGCCTTTGGACAGCCTGGAAAGCGAACAACCTAAACAAAAGCATCGAGCTCTTGGTTTTCCTAAGCTGAGAATGGTGAAGTGAATAAAGGAGACAACTTTATTTTCAGACAAGTGGAAACCAGAGAGCTTTTTGATGCAGGAAAAGCAGACACTGAGCACTGACTGAATACCCAGGTAAGTTGTAGGCTACTGCTGTGAAATTCAGAATGCCAGAGCAGAAATACAATGCTGAGATCTTACCTGTTTGTTCTTTGCTGGTTTGAAACAGTCTGGGCAGGCTGTGGCTCTAAACACAGAAATGAAAATTAGCTGCTCCTCTGACAGAGAAAGAGACAGACAGACTCACAAGCACAGCATGTAAATGGTTTTGTACACATACATCCAGTGTCTCACTTCCACAGCTCAGCTCAGAGCAGATTTTTAAATTCCCTTGATCCGAAAAATGGTGCAAGATGTGCATTACTTGATCCAGGGAAATCATGGACAAAGCTCTGCTCCTCTGCTCTGACCAACACCATGTCTCAGATTTGAGATGGGATGGAAAAGCACACAAATGTAGCTTTCAGTCCTTTCCAATCCTTCTCAATAAAGGTCATGATTAATATTTTAAGTTTTAGGCAAGATCCACTAGCATCTTGAAATCTGTACTTGCTGCTCTTAGACAACACCCACCACAAGCCTGAGATTCAAACTGTCCCTTCTGGAGAGGAAAATTCAATTTCCCACTGAAAAAGTAACCCCAGGTGCTCACCACAAGCTGTGCTTTGCCTGTTTGGAAGGAAACTATTGGCTGTTTCACGAAAGTGAAAGCCCAGTCAGTGAAACAAACCCTTTTTCTGAGCAGTGGAGAGGAAGCTGCTGTTCCTATTAGTGCATTTCTGTGTATGCAGGCAGAGATGGTTTCTGGATTTCTGTGTATGCAGGCAGAGATATTTCTGACCTCCAGCCCAAGCTATCATGTCTTGCTGGTGCTTTTCAACACCTCTGTAACTCCCTCAGCCTCTAAGGAAGCAGCTTTTGCTGTTTCTGTACAAACAACTTCCCTGGCCAGTCTGTGACCCAAAGCAATGCAAACTCCCTCTGCCCAAATTTCAGTATCACATTACCCTAAATGTGAACTGACAAGAGCCAATTCAATCTTCCATGTCACACCATGGGTCCTTTAGCACACCCACCTCCACCCAACTGTGCAAGAACAGGTGAGAAACTGCAGTGGAAATCCAGTCCAAAAGCACACCTGCAACTCCCCAGGCTGAGACAAAGCCCTGCTTTGCTTCCACAGAAACCATGACTGTCAAACTACTGTGATAATTCCCAAATTCACCATGTTTCCCTGAAAACCAAAGCACTGCCTCAGAATGTGCCCAGAGCCAGCCACTCACACAGGCAGAATGCCTTGGCACCTCAGGAACTACTGTGTAATTAAATTAGGTGATGTGCTGCTACTTCAGAAAGTGTCTCAAGCCTTAATTGCTGTTTAAGTGTGCTACAAAGAGGAGGCAAATAAAGGGATATTGTCAGGTCACATGGAATAACCTGAGTAATTGGAAAGTGGAATGGAACTTCTTTACAGCTTTCACCTCTACAGCTGCTCTGCTTGGAGCACTAACACTGGCACCATAACATGTTCAACACCAAAATTCCTGAAAGGCCAGAAAAAGGATGGAAGGATGAGCAGAAAATACCAGTGAAGAGGTTTCAGAGGAAGGAATTAAAAATAAATAAATTAGAATAAAAGGGTGCAGGATGCAGAAACACTTAAGTTCTTTACAGGATTGCAGCAATCATTATTTAGAACAGTGGTCTGGCCCCACAGTTTTCTGCCCCTTTTGCCCAGTCTTGAAGAAGCTGGAAAGGAAAGATGTTCAGCAAACACTGGTAATAACTGTTCCTAAATCTGGTTCCTTCCCAAACTTCCATTCCCTCATCCCCCACCTCAGGACTAACAAAAGATGCAGCTGTGGAAAAACCAAGAAGGTGGTGGATTGAGTGGTCACAATCAAAGATCACAAATTGCCAGAAGAGAAATCAGGAAATAAATGAAGGCTGCAAGAGAAATCTGCAGTCTCAAGAAATGAATTCACATTTTAACTGAGACATCTCTGCTCCCTTCCATGCTGAGATTTCACTTGCAGGAGGTGCAAATTAACTTAGGTTTTCCAGGAAGCATCAACAAACAGGAAGAGTGACCCTAATTTTCCAGAGTATACTACAGCTAGATTTTGAGAAATCAGATTAAATGGCAGCTAAATTCACAGAACTGTTTTGCTTCTTTGTGTACAGCAGGTGCCCTGCTGGGCCAGGCCAGGGGCTGTGTGCAGTTGCCAGGGAATTTCTGTTTGTTTTCATCAACCAGCTAAGCTGGATTAACTCACTTCAAAGCCTTTTCTCCTGTCCATGTGTCCTACAGGAGCAGGAAAACTTAGGTATGACCTCAAAAGATTCCCCCACCTGCAATTACATTGTTCACATTTGAAAAAATTATACAGTGAATGACTTTGAGGAGGACTGAAATTGAAGAACTTATCTGAATGCTCTCCTTCCAGTTCAAATCAGAATTCCAGATGCTTTTTTTAATTAGCAGAATTAACCAGAGATGATTTAACTTCAAGCTCTGCCAAGTTCACATGGATATGAGGAAATCTAGATGCAGGCCACATTCTAGTTTATAATAGTTTATAAACACTGCATATTGTCCTCTGTAACAAATCAAACCAACAATATTGCACAACATTTAGATAAAGATCTTTTGTTACATGTAGAAAACTTACAGGAAATGGCACTCCTCGTCTGTTTCTGGGTGAGCAAAGACCACGCTGACTTCAAACAAACTCTAAATTAAAAAAAAGAAAAAAGAAAAAGGAGGAGGTAAGGGAGGATATTCTCAAGCACCCCTACTGCAGTTGTAGGAAAACAGCAGAGACAAAAGAGAGCATAACCCATCCATTTATGTTTAAAGACATTACAAGGTGTGCCAGAGCAGCATTTGCCTTTCTGGAGTCACCAAGGATGACGTGAGAGCACTCAGAGCCACGAGTGACCTGCCCTGGTGCCATCCTGTGCAGGCTGAGGCAGAGGCAGCCAAGGCTCAAAGCCTATTACACACCCCAGAGCCCTCCCAGGAGGGCAATAAAGATAAAAACCCTGCAGGAGTCACCGCTGTAAATTTTGTCAGGGGTTCCTTTGCAGTGCCTGCATGGCCTTGGGGCACAGCAAGGCAACACATCCTGCTGGATTGACAGCTAGCCCAGGAACTCCAGTGCAATCTCAGTTCTTGCCCCAATTCCCTCTCTGGCCTTGGGCAAACAACACTCATTACTCGTGTTACTCTGATAGCAGAACACCTCAGGAGGGCTATTGAAAAGATTGGCTAATATTCAAGGGCCTTGTAGATAAAAGGCACTAAAAAACAACTTTTGTGGTACAGGCATGGCTGGAGTGGCTCCTGCCTGAGTGGGGGAGAGCTTTTGCTAACTCTGTGTGTGGGAAGTTTGTATCTTCCTGGATCATCTTCAGAGTAACTGAGTGGGGATTTTTCTTCACTAAGACAAAAGGGATGCTTTCAATTAGCACTCCTGGGAAAACAGAGCCTGTAATTATTATGGAAGCTGAGAAATCAACATGAGGACTAAGTGAATCTAGTCCTGGGGTCAGTGCTATGGCTGGTGACAGAAAATTTACCTTCAAGACAATTCAAGGTGCTTCTGAATCTGGCAACACCTGATTGCCATGTTCAGTCAGTGCCTTGCAGAAAGATTTTAAGGATATTAATGACAATCTGCAAGTTGAAAACAGTTTGAAAAAAAAACAAACCATTTCTACTGCCTACTTTGGATATTGCAGGTCCCAACAAGTCCCAACAAGCCCATTTCTAGTGTTCATTAGAGTGAACAAGGATCAGTCCTTGCTCTTTCAGTACATTTCAGACATTTATTTTATCCACAGATCCTGAACAAGTGCTGGCAGTGACAGCAGAGCAGGGAAGGAATGTGGGAGCATTCCTCAGCCTCTGCAAAACAGGGATCCTGGAAAGGAGACAACTGGAAAAGTCTCACTAACAAAAGGAGATGGCACACAAGAGATTTAGCACAGGCCTGTGGTGGTTTCAGAAGATGCAAAGATCTGTGTGTACAAAAATGAACATTGGGCCCCTCAGGACTCCCACATGGAGAGCTCTGCTTAAAAGAACTTCCCCCCTGCACTTCCCTACAGTGAATTTAGGAGGCACTCATCTTGTTTCCCTGTTAATAAGGAAAGAAGGATACATTGTTATTTCCCCACCATGTGTATAAGTGCATAAATATACACACACAACCCCAGATGAAAAAAGAATGAAGAAACAGAAGTGTTCTGTTATTTATACAAGACCTTTCCATCAGCAGGAACACCCAACTCTTCTGCCAGCTGGGGATGAATAATCCACTTGTAAGCTTCCTTCAGCTGAACAATGTCATCCTTGGCCAAGGGAAGGCCCAGATTTCTGAATCACAAAGAAATAATAACTTGCACAGGGGTCTGTCAAAAATAGATACATGACATACAATATTTCAAGAGGAACTTAAGCAGCTACTGCCAAGTAAAATGGATTCTTTTTTTTTGTGTGTGTGCACTGAGGAAACTGATGCCAGAGTTCCAAAAGTCTTTCCTGAGGCTGCCCAGAGAAAAGCTGAGGAAGGGAGAGATGCATTTCAAACCACTTGTTTGGGAGCTTAGAAACCAAAAGAGATAAGAAAGCCCAAGTGAGGTCAAACCAGGTAAAAAAGAAAAAACAAAACACACAAAACCCAGCTGCCACCTTATTCTTTGTAGGCATCAGGTAAACAGGACGATAAATCAACATTAATGTAGAGAAATGGTGTCTGTATGAAGAGCTCTTGTCAGACAGACAGACAGACAGACAGCAAAAGCAATGGCTCACCTCATCTGCTGCTTCACCCCCAGCCAAGCAGCACGCTGCAGGTCACCAGCCATGCCCAGGGAAAAGAGAGGAAAAAATAAAAGCAAGTGAAATTAAGGCTCAGAACTCCCAACAATCTGAGAGGCTCTTTGCTAAGGGAGAAGTGTTTTTATAATTCCTGACCAAAAAAAAAAAAGTATCAGGAATTTAGCTTTTGCTTCAGAAGTGGAAAGATGGGATTGCTGTGAGTTTTTATTTCTAAGACATCACTTTGCTCTTCACATCAAATCCTATCTGGGTTAAAAAATAAGAGGCATCATTGAACACTTTGAAACTTGCTATTAATACTGTAACTACAAATAGACTCTAAGTCATCAGTTATCTCCCATGTAAAAATTAAAAAAAAAGTGTCTAAATGAATGGGATATAAAAGCTGATTGGCATAAATTAATAAAACCCCAAATTCAGCTATCATCCATTATAAAAAATAGAATTAAAAATATATTTGGTCTTACTTGGTAATCACAGAATTGCACCCAACACAGTTTAGGTGAATAGGCTAAATTTGGAAAAGGGGAGGAACAGAAGGAATAATTCTAGAAATCAGAGGGAACTTTCAGCATAAATGCTCAAGTTCACTAACAATTAGTAAAAAGATAAAAACTCCCCTCAAAACTTCCTACAATGAATAACAACAACAGTTTCAGTTCTCCTCTACTCAAAAAATACACAAGGACTGGCAGGAAAGCACTTAACTAATTCAGCCTGTGTCACCCTCCCCACTGGAGACAAACTGCAAAAATCAAGTTGTTTGATTTGAATCCATTACAATGAAACAGTTTTCAGTCTGTAAGCTGCAGGCTTTTAAACCTCTTCCCCACCTTTTATTTTTCATGTACTTAGAGAATAACCTCCCCCAAACTCTGCTGAAAGAATCACTGTGCATTGTCAAGGAAATAATTCTGAGGAAGAGGTTTAAAAACAGTTCTCAAACTTCAGGATCACATGGATATCAGAAGGAAGCACATCAGAGATCCCTTTTCCACGCTGATAAGGAACTCAATCAACAAAATAAGTCTATTGTCCTTCCTTTGGTGCACCTAAAAGAATGAGGGAACCCTAAAAACAGTGATGAGGGAACCCTAAAATCAGTGCTGGGAATTAAGAGGGCAGAGGGATGGTGGAGAGAGGACACAAACTTTGTTAGCTCCACGATTGCCGAACAAAACAAATGCAGTTGTAGTGATGAAATGCTGTTTGCTCAAATACACTGTGATTCATTATCCTGCATTTGAAGACAGGATGAGTAAGGCTGCTTCACTTGAAGCATACTGTAATCCTGTTTGCATAATAACCCAGATAAAATCATAAATAAAAATAGCTTCAATTGAAATTCCTTGAACGTAGCTCTGAACTACAGGATATGACAACCACAGAACTGGGCCTAGGAAGCTGCATTTGACAAATGCCAATTTACAAAGAAACCTCTCTCATGCCTTGATTTAGGGCACTTGCAGGTTTGGGATGTTTGGGACTCAGGGGGAGGCTCACCACACTCCTCATCCCTGTTTTCTTGGGATAAAACTACAAAACAGACAAAACTTCTGCATGGGAGTAGCTGTGCTAAAATGAGAGCACAGGTCAAATTTCATCTCCACTCTCTCTTGACTTCCAAGTTGAAAGAGAATGAAAGAAATTACTTTTCCCCTCCAATTAAGGGGAAACAATAGATGAGGGTACTGCAAGCACAGAAGCCAAAAAGATCCCAAATTCCAAATCACATTCAACCACCAAGCCAGCCAAACCCCTGCCCTCTCTCCCAGCTGAACATGGAGCAGGGGATCAGATCCCTCTCCTTCCTAATTACTTCATGTTTGTGAAGTGGTTTGAAAATGAAAAATGCTCATTACAGAGCTGAAGCCTGCAGGGCAATGCTCAGCAGCAAACTCATCTGTGGCACACAAGGCACTCATTGATCAGGAGCTGCAGGATGGGATTCTGGTGCTGTCTGAGGGAGCACAGTTGAAATCCCAGGTGCAATCCCAGCCCCAGCATTGCTTCAGTGCATCAGCAAAGAGCTCGGAGATGGGGAATTCCAGGATGAGGCCCAGCAGCCCTACAGGGAGTAATGAGTACAGATGTTATTTGCATCAATGTCCTTGCAGCAGGCACCAGGATGATGGATCAGGACTGATCTGCCACCCTTCTGAAGGGCACCACTCACCTCACATCCTAATAGAGCTGTCTGACAGAAACCTGGGACTCCTGTATTTATGATTTATTTCAATCAAACCTGCTGCTTGTGGAAGGAGGCAATTGCTTCCTTGCATCACAGACACAAATACTATGCAAATGCAGATTTTATGTCCTGCTCTTCTCCAGCTCCCCTCGTACATTTTAGACTTGGCAGGATGACAAGTGTCATAATTAAATGGGATGAAGGTAACACTGAGAGGCAGTTTCTGATTTTTTTTTTTTTTTTTTTTGTTAAAAAAGATGATGGAGAAAATCTGTGTGTCACACCAGAGGGCAGTGGGAGAGAGGCTGCCTTTGGGTGCTCTTTGATGAGAGGATTCCACGTGTTCTTGTACACAGCAGGTCAAAGAATTAAAAGCAGAATTTAACAAACGGCCTCTTTTCCGCACAAAGCACGTTGAGATATTCTGATATCTGATTTTGACATTTTCAGACATTTTTACATACTGTGCTGCTGCTTTTCTGTGGCTGTAAAACAGGTTCTCACCTATTTTTTTTAAGTGATAAACTTAAAAAGGAGGCTAATAAAGCTCCATGATTTTTTAAATTGTTCTTCCATCATCATCCCTTTTCACCCCTGCAACTGGAACAAACATAAAGCTGCTTCAGCATTTGATAAGACAGGAGGGATGGAGTAGAAGGGACAGCAGGAACTTCTCACTCCAAACCAAAAGTGCTTCCAAAGGGAACAGACCCAGTTTTGGAACTTCCCACTCACTCATTTCACTCCATCTGTTGATGTGTGGGCCCACAGAACAGCTCTGACTCCCGTGCCGTCCCCAGCTCTGCCGCTTTGCTGGAGCTCCAGCCGCAGGCAGTTGATGAGGCCATCCCTGAGCTGAAGTGCAGTGCAACACCACCCTCTGCCGAGGCTTCCTGCAAACACCAGCTGCTGCATCGCCTCGGCTCACACCGGGCCTAAAGCTGGACTCCAACTCACTAAAGCCTGACCTAAGTTTGGGGCTTGCCAGAGCATCACAGGCATCCCAGTACTCACCTGGCCTGGAAGTGCTTTTTGACAGACCTCATCTTTTGGAGGTATCAAAGCCCAAAGCGGGAATCAGGGTAGTTCAGCCAGCCAGAAAGGACAAAGCAAACAAACCAACTGTGCTCAGTTTAGGATGGGAAGAAGAGAATCTGATGTTGCAGAGGATTTAGGAGTGGAATATTTGTCAGCTGTGACAGTGGCAGCACTTGCCCAGGATGCCACAGCTAAGAGCACAAATCAGCACCACACGTGCAGCAGATAATTCACCAAACTGTGTGGGAGCAGAGACCTCACACAGCTCTACACAGCAATGCAACACCATCCTCTCTTCTTTCTGCCTTGTTCACTGCAGCTTCCACCACATCTCAGCCACTCCTGCACAGATTTACGTGCTGCCCTTTGAAACACCACTTTTACATCACTTTTAGAACAGTACTTGTGTTTTATTTTACATCAGAAAGCAGAGGAAGATTGCAAAATACCTCACAACTAAGTGTATTTTCCCATCATTTAAAATGCTGAACACTTCAAGAGTTCATCCTCAAATTCCTTCATTTGCACTTTGCACTACCAATTATCCTTTTTCCTGGAAAGGGACCAGCTGGGCAGCTCTGGCTCTGAGAAGATCCACAAAGCAGGGCTAGCATCTGCACCTGAGGGTTTCACAAACTCCTTCAGGTCTTCAGATGGAGAGTAACTCCTGGGCTAACTGAAAACTGAAGTGATTCAGGCCCTTTATTAATTACAATAATGCTCACCCAGAAGGAAGGGGAGAGCAGACTTCACTTCCAGCATGGGCTTCTGGGTTGTTTTTTTAAACAATAACAATTAAAAATCAAACCATCGTACATTCCACAGTTACTTTCTTAAATATGTATTTAATTATTTAAGTTGTTATTTGAGTTACTTACCTCCCTGACAGACAGCTGTGGGGGTAGTGACACAGAAAATACAAAACTGGTGAACTGGTAGTCAGCAGAATTAACTTTTTGGCACACCTGTAAGAGAAGGAGTTTAATATGAAACCACAGCAATGGGACTGAGCTGATAATTTTTGCTCTAGAATAATCACTGTGAATTGATGTTATCACACACTCAGAGAGATGCCCAAAATACAAAGCAGAGTAATCACTAACAACTTATTGAAATACAAGCTTTTCTGTCCTGTTAAAAAAAAGTTGCTAATCACCAGTATCCTTGGTGCTATGAAACAACCAAACTCATTCTTTCAAGGCCAGGACCAATTGTATATTGAAATTTTAGGTGAAAACAGCATCTCAGATAAGGAAATTTCTGTATTAAATAAGTAGGTTTTGTGGTGCCTTAACAACTGCTGTCAGATTTTCCATTGCCACTGAAGAGAGGAGCTCTGAAACAAATCTCAGCAGGGGATTCTGTAAAAAGATACAGATCCTGCCCATGGAAACAAAAAAGAAACAATTATGTTCTGCAGCAACAGAAACTATGTATTGTGCTTTCTGTCTAGTCCCATTTTTGATACATTCCTGCTGTTAAATCAAATCCTTTCCAAATTGAGATATTCTGTTAAAGATCTCAGGTGCCAGTGTGAGTTTTCTAGATGATATTTCAGCTAGAAATATCTAGCTGATATTGCTCACATGAGCAGTACAATTGCTCAGAGGTGGCATCTGCAAGGCTCTGTGCCCACATTCTCTCCTAACTCACATCTTCTCTATTATCCACAATCTGCTGCATCACCAAAACATTTTCTTGCCCTGTGGTACTTCATAAAGACAGGTTCATGCTGTTATTGGTGGTTCAGAGAGCAGCACTTGATGACTCCTCATTTTCCTGTCACATAAAAAGTGAAGAGTTCCTCAGAGGTTTTCCCTGAAAGCAGCTGAACCTCAGGTCATCTCCTAAATCCATGTAACCACGTAGCTGTGAGTCCTTTTCTTTGGAAAGTGTGCTCCCTGCAGTCATTCCACTGCACCTGCACTGCTATTTTTTTTATTTTAAAAAGTGCCACTGTGACAAAGCCTGGGCAAAATTTGGTGCCACCACAGATGCAACTTCCCAGTTGCACTGCTGGGTGTGCAAACACTGCCCAGGAGCAGAGTGGAGCAGGATTCTGCCATCTACATTTCAAATCTTCAAAACAGGCAAATGTCTTGGTTTGTTGTCTGGTCTATTTGTTCTCTATCCTGGTAGGCCCCAGCATACACAAACTCCAAAAAAGTACCCCAAAAGGTGACAAATGTACCTTTTTAACAAAGTCAGGCTCACAGAACTCCTGGAGAATTCCCAAACACACGTTGCAGACCCTCCCAGCAGAGCTCTCCAGGGCAGTATTCCCACTGAGGGCAGGATTCCCAGTATTCCCAGTATTCCCAGCATTCCCAGCTGAGGGGAGCTGTGGGATGGCCCCGTTGTGGTTCAGCTCATCAGCACCTTCCTCCTTGTGCTCGAGCCTGAGTCTCTTACAAGGGGGGTCAGCCACATCCAAACACACTGTGCCTTCCTTTTCCTGGCTGTTCTTCAGAAATTCCTGCAGATCCTTCAGCAGATCCTGGCACAAACAGAGGAAACACAGCCTGGTTGTCTGCTCCTCTTTAACAACCCCCATTCCACAGGGCAGTGGAATTGTGTTTGTTCCAGGCAAGGCTCGGTGTATGTCATTAACAACAGGGAATTTATGCCCAAAAACACCTTTAAGACACAATTCAACAGCTTCAAGCTGCATTTCTCTCAGAATTGAAATTTCCAGAGAAAATATTGCTGAATAGACTTGTTTATCATCCAAGAATGAAAACGTTTTCCAGACCTGGCTCACAGAAACACATTTATCTTTGCCCCAACACCATTCCATGAAAAGAGACATTTAGTGCTTCTTGTCATTTAGATTATGTTAGAATTTAATTCCTTCAACTCAACAGGAACAGAGCTGGCCACTACAATAAAAAGAAAAGACAGCAGAAACAGGTGGGGGTGAAATGAAACACACGGAGTAAGAACTTTGTATCAGGAGAGAAGCCTTCAAAAATTAACAATTACCTGCACATCTCTGATTCCTGGAAGGATGAGAGACAAGACATAGTTCAGGAAAAAGGATTCATTAAAAGGATTTCAGTAGGGAAGACAGCAGTTACTGTGCTGTTGCAACTCAGAGGAAAAGCAGGTAGAGATGCAAAAGGATAAAACACGGTACAATGAACGAACAGGCCTCAAATAACTGATAAAAAATGGAAAAAAGGTGGGGAAGAAAGATGTTAAAAATGAATTGTGGAGAGTCTAAACTTGAGCAAGGGTAAAACAATCAAGACAGGCAGACAGCATAAAGAGAGTGGGTTAGAGAAGCTAAGGAGGATTTCTCTGATTTATCCTCAACCTTTGCCCTGCAATTCTTCAGTCGCATCCCCCTACCAAATCTGATTTCCTCCCCATTAAAGGCACAAGCAGAGTTTTACATAACTCCTTTTCCTTTCAGGCCACAAAGGACAAACCTGGAGTGGGTGTCTGTAGAGCAGCTGTGACCCCACAGAGCAGAACCTCAGAACACATCGTGGGCACGTGCCAGCGTTGAGCAGGAGCTGAACAACTGCTCTGTCCTTCTCTGCCACTGGAGACATGCTGGGTGAACCTAACATTCAGCACACACAGGTAAAAAGAAAAGCTTAGAATAAACAAAGTACTCAGCTGAGACTTAGCTGCACCATGCTTAGAGTAAGTGGAGTTTTTGTTGGCCTCTAGAGAAAACTTGGGATGAATGTTTGTTTTCAATCACGGGCACAAAGGAAGGGGAAGACCAACCCAAAAAGATCACTGGCTGCAGGAAAAGCTTCTGTATTTGCTGGGTTTTTCCTAGAAAACCTGAACTCAAGTTCTGACAAGGAAATGCTGAGCTTTTGCCCAGTTTTATCTTGGATAAAGTACATGACACGCTAATCTTTACTGAATGATGGAGGGTGGAGCTGAGACATATTAAGGCAAATTTAAAATGGGAATTCCTCCTAAAATTGCAGTGACTAAAGAATCAGTGTGTTAAAATCACAGGGAGAAAAAAAATATTTTTAAGATAAATAAGATTTATAAGATAAATAAGATTTATAAAATAAAGACTTATTTCCCTTCTCAATATAGAACTCACGGTTTTATGAGAAATCTCATAATGCTTTTTTTCTTTTTTTTAATATCATGGCTAATGTGGTTTCCTGTCATTCTTTCTGCCCAAAACTTTAGAAAAGACTGATTTTTTTTGATTTTTTTTTTTGGCCAAAATGTTGTGAACTCGGCTTTTTTTTTTTTTTTTGGAAGAAGAGAGAATCCCAATGAGATGCTCACCCTCACTGGACATCAAGGAAATTTCAGGAAGCACATAAGGATTACCACAATTGTTCAGACCAAAGGTTTAACGAGTCCATTGTGGGAATAAATTCAGCAAGGAATTCCAAAGCACTAACGAACCACCCGATTTTGCTTTGGGCTTAGGTCCTGTGAGCAACACCTGATACTGTGCTAGCTCTTGTGTCCCAAGGGATGGGATTTATCCATGTTCTCCATGCCAGCCACTGCTACACCTGCAATTCCCCATCCTGCTCAGGAATCCTGCAGCCAGGGAGAGCCTCCACAGCACGGAAAAGTGATTAATTCAATGCATTTCTTTATTCCTGGATTTGGATACTTCAGGGTAAGCTGTAAAAACCAAGGGCTGCCTGGGAAAAACCAAAGCTGCTTTTAAAGGAAAGAACAAACACAAACAAACACGATTTTAGGTAACTGCGACCTCAATTCAGCTCCATGCGAGGTGAATTATATATACTTATACTGGCACTGCGTGACACACGCGGGTAAATGTGACAATATTCCACCTGGTAAATGTGACAGTCAATATTCCTGACACTTGGTGGCAGCGTGACGGGAGGAACCCCGATCCCGCTCCGGCCCAGCACCTCAGGGCGGAGCTCAGAGCCCCTCATCTGTGAGGGGACGGGGGCACAGGAGCCCCGTTCCGGATCCATTCCCGCTCCATTCCTATTCCCGCTCCATTCCTATTCCCATTCCCATTCCCGTTTCCGTTCCCCTTCCCGTTCCCATTCCCGTTCCCGCTCACCCTCTCTCGGCGGCCCCCGGAGCCGGCACAGGCCCGCTCAGCAGAGCTACAGAGCGCATCGCTCGGCCGGCGCGGTGGGGCGCCGCGCCCGTAGGGTGGCTGGTGGAATAGCTCGGCGCTCTCGCGTGGCGCCTGTCGGCGGGCGGGGCCGAGCGGGGCCGAGTGGGGCCGAGCCCGAACCGAGCGGGGCCGAGCTTGAGCCGAGTGAGGCCGAAGCGGGGCCGAGCGGGCGCGATGGCGGCGACGCCGCCGCCCAAGCCCTGGGAGTCGCGGCGGCTGCCGGGCACCGCGACCGCCTTCCAGTGAGTGCGGGCGTCCCTCCCCCGATGTTCCCGCCGCGGGGGCCGTGGGGGTTCGCCCCCTCGGGCCGGCCGGGCCCGCTCCCCTGGGGCGGGCTCAAAGGTCGGGCCCGGCCGGGGCTGCCCCGCGCCGTGAGGGGCTTGTGCCGGGCGAGAGGGGCGGGCTCGGCGTGAGGGGCTGCGGGCTGAAACCCCGCTGGTGGCAGAGGGAAGCTGCGTGTGCGGTGTGGGGAGGGAAAGCCGTGTTGTCACCGGGGGGTAGAGTGAGTTCACAGTCCGTTCCTGGGAGGATTAAAAGTCCATTCCTGGGGGCACTCGCAGCCCTTTCCTGGGGGCATTCCCAGTCCCTTCCTGGCGGCATTCCCAGCCCTTTCCTGGGGCTGCGCAGCTCTGTGAGCCCCCGAGCCTCTGCAGGACAGGGGGAACTGCGTGTCAGCCCCAGGATTTGGAAGAGATCCCTGTGTGTTGTCAGTGTCGTGTGAGTGTTCCCATCTTCTGGGAGCTCTCCCGGAAAACCCAGCCTGCTCGTGGAGAAGGATGCACAGAAAGGGCTTATGAACTATTCCTTTTTTATGGGAAGCCAAGGAAGGCCCGCTGGGTGGCTGAATACTCGTCTTGTTTTTCTCTTGGTGCTGGTGATTGCAGTTGGAGGGAGCTGAAACTGGGCTAAAGGTTGGCCCAGCACTAAACATTGAGCAGAAACTTCTCTGCGTTCTCTGCAGAGTGCTGAGCCAGCAGTTTGGTGGTGTTGGTTTTTCATTCTGGGTTTATTTACCCCATTTTAAACAGCTTCAAGCAGCTTTGAAGTGGGGTGTCCCAAGTTGTCTAAAGGACAGAAGACTGTACTGTGACTTACTGAGTTACAGTAGCTCTGTTTGCTGGGGTAATAACTTATATTTCCTCCTGTTTTCAACTGCTGAGAGAGTTACAGTCTGTGACGGAAAAAGCAGCAGTGTAAAGATACAAATATTATTCTTTGCTGTGGAAACCTGTAAGTTTTGCTGAGAGGAAGCTGTTCCCTACCTTGTATGGAAATAGTACAGCAAGCAGCAGCTGCTCCTTAGCAATTCCAGCTTGACTTCCTTCTTCTTTTCTGGACTGCAGAAGTGGGAAATTGTGAGTCAAGGCAGTAAGCATGGGAAATAGCATGTTTGACTTTTAGGGTGATAAGGTGTGAATGAAACACATATATTTTTATTGAACTGGCTGAAGCTGCTTGACAGAATTCAAATGCCAGTCAAGTACTTCCAGAGTTTTATTACGAAGGGCATTGATAAAATGATTTAGACTTATGGGCATGCAAAGGAAAAGAAAAATTACTAAATTAAGACCTCTCTCTGCCAACACTGCTCAGTAGTAGATTTAACCCCTTGACAATCTGCACACAGGTGATCAGGTAGTTTGGGTAGAGAGGGAAGTTGGGGACCCCAAAGCCCTTGCACATATTGTTGCATAATTACTTGGATTCCCACTTAGGTCATGCCACCCTTTAAGAGTGGATTCAGAGGAGCTCTCAAGCTTTCCTCCTGCTGTATCATTGGCTCGTTGTGTAGAAGAGCTGGGAACAAGGGTTGGAAATAAAACTTTCAGATTGGAAAGTTCATAAAAGTTTGTGTTAGGGGCTTCCATGTGCAGAAGAATGATGTGGGTGTTAGAGCAGCAGGTTTGATGGCTCTGGGTTGTGTATTTCATGGGTTGATACATTAAATACACAATAAATAGGTAAAGGTTTTTTACATGTTTACATTCCTGTTCCATGTTTACACTGGATATCTGATTTTGGGGGTTTTATCCCCCTGAAGGATCTGTGTTTCCTGCCCAGATCTTTTACTTCCAGCAAACCCTAGAACTGTTCAATGTACTGAGTGTTGGGCTCCCTGGTTCCCTGTCCCCATGTGTCACAGACATGTGTTCTGAAAAATCCTTTCCCTAGGATTTTTCCTCCTGAGAAGCTGAGGGGCCTCAGGAACGAAATGTAAGCAATGGTGATCTGCTGCTGTGGAATGCAACAGGTGCATCTGGGATTGGGCTCATGTGGTTGTTTCTAATTAATGGCCAATCACAGTCCGGCTGGCTCGGACAGAGAGTCCAAGCCACAAGCCTTTGTTATCATTCCTTCTTTTTCTATTCTTAGCCAGCCTTCTGATGAAATCCTTTCTTCTATTCTTTTAGTATAGTTTTAATATAATACATATCATAAAATATGCTAAGGAGACGAGTCAGATCCTTGTCTCTTCCCTCATGCTTGAACCCTTGTGAACACTGTCACACCCATGCTGCTGAAACTCTCTGTGGTGTTTAGGAGTCAGTGGAAAGGAAAACCTAAACTCTGGGTGCTGATCTTGCCTATCTGACTTTGTTTAGGTCTGCTGACTTGGGTGACAACCTGCTGACCAGGCCCGGCCAGCCCACGGTGGTGGCACGAATCCCCCCGCCCATCTTGCCCAGGCCCTCCCAGCAGGCGGCGAGCAGCAGCCTGAGCGCTTTCAGGCCGGCCTACAGCAGCTCCTTCTCGCCGGGCTACGGCTCCTACGGCTCCTCTTTCTATGGAAGCTACAGTCCCTACAGCTATGGCTACGGGGGGCTGGGCTATAACCGCTTCTGCGCCGAGGCCGTTCCCCCCAGCAGGTTTGTGCAGCAGGCTGAGGAGAGCAGCAGGGGCGCCTTCCAGTCCATCGAGAGCATCGTGCACGCCTTCGCCTCTGTCAGCATGATGATGGATGCCACCTTCTCCGCCGTCTACAACAGCTTCAGGGCCGTGCTGGATGTGGCCAACCACTTCTCCCGCCTCAAAATCCACTTCACCAAGGTGTTCTCAGCCTTTGCTCTCGTGAGAACTATCAGGTACCTCTACCAGCGCCTGCAGCGCCTGCTGGGTCTGCGGCAGAGCTGCGACAACGAGGATTTGTGGGCTGAGAGCGAGGGCAAAGTGGCTCGTGCTGGCCTCGAAGACAAGGTGGCTAACTCTGCGAAATCCTGGCCCATTTTCTTGTTCTTTGCTGTCATACTGGGAGGCCCCTACCTGATTTGGAAGCTGCTTTCTACATACAGTGAGGAAGAAACAGGTAAAGATGACCTGCAGCACCAGAGAAGTGCAGTGTGTATTGTTCCTTTTTTTGTTGCCTGTATAGTGATTAATCTCACACTACAGCAGTAGTAATTAACAGATGCTGGGGCACATCAATTAGTATTGAATTTTAGGCATGTGATGCAAGTGACAGCCTGCTTAAGTAACCTGTTGTTAAGACGTGGTTTCCTGCTGAAGCTTTCTGTGATTCCAGAATCATGCTTCCTCTCGGCTTCCGGTTCCTTCCTCTTAGATGTGGCAGTTTGCATTGGGTGGGACAAGTGTTGGTTGGATTTGCTCCCCAAATCTTGCTTTTCATGTTACTTCTGTCACTTCTCTATTGGAAAAGAGAGCTTTAGCAAGGAAGGTGAAGTGTTTTCTTCATTTTCCTTTGAAAAACACGCCGAACGTTGTAAGTCAAAGCAGATAAACTTGTGGTTTTTGTTTGCAAACAGTGTCTAGTAACTGGGCGAGTGGAGAAGATGACCATGTAGTTGGAAGAGCAGAATATGATTTCAATGCTCTCTCAGAAGAAGAAATTTCTTTCCGTGCTGGTGACATGCTAAGATTAGCACCCAAAGGTAAACTTTTGATTTTTCTGTTTGTTTTCTCATCACATGTGAAGTAAGTTACAGTACAAGAGTCTGAAAATTGAAATAGAAAAGCCCCCAAACCACCTTATTTGACCAAATTCCTCATGCACACTGATTTTTACTCCCCGTGAAGTGATTACTTGCATTCTAATAAAACTTAGAGAGTAGATTTGTTCAGTTCTGTTGAGTTGTCCTGTAACTTGATGCATTTGCATTCTCTTCTTCAGAGCAACAGCCCAAGATCCGTGGTTGGCTCCTGGCTAGTTACGACGGCCAAACAACAGGACTTGTGCCAGCTAATTACATCAAAATCCTGGGCAAAAGAAGAGGCAGGAGAACAGTGGACCTGGAGAGGATTGCAGAGCAGAGGCCAGCCTTTCCCAGCACAGCTGTCAGAGGAGCCCCTGCTGCTGCTGCTGCTGCTGCTGTGACTTTGGAGGAGCAGGAGGCAGCTTTTGAAACTGTTTTTGCTGGAAGCAGCAAAGTTCCTGCGGCGTCGGACTCCGCTGTGGCTGGAGGAGAGAAGCAGGAGCTCTGATGCACTTTGATCAACAAAGCAACTGAACTGTGCTTTATTGATACCACTTAGGGCTTGTTGAAAATCTGGTTTGTAGTGGAGCACTGGTGGGGCTGTACCAGTTTTTGCTGCTACTGGCTGGTGAAGGGATGGAGAAATGATTGCTCAAATTTGTGGTATTTATTTTTGATTCACCTAAGGCTGTACGTCAGTGATTCTATCCACCCACCTGGCAGCCACTCTAAGATCTTGAGATAGGAGAAGTGAGGCATTCATAAAATAGAAAACAAAGGAAAAAAAAATAGGGAGTGCCATTCTTGCTTAGGAGACAAATTAACACCCATTCTTTGTAGGAGTCTGGAGGCTCTTCAACAGATGTGCAAAGGGAAGAGTGATTTCTGTAAGATGTCCTCCAAAACATCACCCTCAGAACCATAAAGGAGTACCAGCACATTGTCTCCCCCTGAAAGGAGGGAGAGCTGCAGGAGATGCACACAATGGAATAGTTAGAAGGTTTAAGTTGCCTTTCATAAGTGGGGTTCTGTCATAAAGAACGTAGCTCTCAGGAAAAAAGGGACTTGGGAGGAGAAATAGACTTTACAAAGGGAGAGCAGTGGGGCATCACGAGTAGTTCCAAGCAGTTCTGGTTTGTTTGTTGAAAGGACATTGGAATTAAGGGTGTTCTGCAGTCAGGCACCCATTAGTTGTTACTCCCTTAACTAACTTTGCATCACTCTTAGCCATTTTGTGATGTAGCCTGCTAGCTGCCTATCTATCAGCTACCATCTGCATCTCAACTTATTTCTGTCCTTTATTGATTTTATATCAGTGTCAAAATATCTCTCCTGTGGTTTTGAGCAGTAGGAAAGCCTTGAGTTGAAGGAAGTTGATAGTAATTGGAGCATCAAAGAAAAAGTAACATTTCTTGCTTAATTGTGTCACTTAGAGAAGGTCTTGCAGTTGGACAAACTTTTCATGCTGCCTTTCAGGTGGTAAATTTTGCATCTGCCCATAAAATTTTAGGGCTCCAGTTTATCAAAAGCCATAAAAATATTAAGACTGTTCAAAGTATTTTCTTCATATGGATGTTTGAGAATTCTGTCTTGAAATACTGTTTTGGTTTTTTTGTTAAATGAAGCAAAGATAATTAAACCTTTTTTTTTCCTTGTAGTATGTATGTATAACGTGTTGAACTTCTGACGGTTACATCAGTGGATTAAATAACTTAAGTTTGTCTTAATCATTAAAATAGCTGTTTTATTCTAAAGTTTCTTGGAAATACAAGTAGGCCACAGGCCTTTTCTTAATTGATTGAGTAGTTTCAGTTTGACCATTCCTACAGGGATCTTCAACACCCATTATGTGTTAACAAAGCTTTCAGTATTTATATTTTAATGGCATTTGCTGGCCTTGGGTTCTTAGAAGTCTCTTCAACACAACAAAGCTCTAAAAAAATGAGCACAATTTTATTGAGGTAGAGTGGCTGAAAAGACAAATGTTATGCTGGAACCTTGATTTGAAAGTAATCTCTGAATGCCTGTTAATAAATAGAACATGAATTTAAGTGGATTGGGAGATGGTGATTAAAATAATTTATAGTAAATTGTTAGATTTTCAAGTGCAGATGTAAAGGAAAAAGTAGTTAAAGGGCAGATGAAAACCTTGAGATTTAAAACTGAACATGCTCCTGAGACATTGCCCTGTGTACCAGAAAATTATCTGTATTTGAAAATTATATCTGTTGTTGAAATTAAAAGAGCAAAAAAAAATCAGAAATTTAAAATACAGAGAAGCAAAGGGAGGGAGTGGTGTATCATGTGTACAGTTCTGTGTGCAGAGTGTGTCCCTGGAGGGAATTCATTTACAGTTCTGAGATGTAAGTAATGGACTGTCAGCCTCCCCTGTTAGTGGAAGATTTCAACCAGAGGAAGGGTCTACAATGAATGAATAAATAAACCCCAACTTTTTTTAAGAGTATCCATTCAGGTAGATTTTTTGGCTTTCTGGCTGTTTTAGGTTTTTTTTTTTCCTTCCTGTTTTCTCTTCTGTTTTCTGGCTCAGAACAAGTTTAGAAGACAATGCCATGATGCTTGTTGGAATGGTTTAAGTCTCATTTTTAGAAAGATAAGTTTAATTTCACTTCCAGGTCATACTATTTTGACAACAATTCTTTTAGCAGAAAGATAGGTTATTCTCACCTGAGTTGTCTTTATATTTGTTTGACTCAGCCTACAAGTCACTGTCATCATTGTATCTCCTAAATCTCAGCAAGAATTTTGATCCTTTCAATCTTGCAATTACCTTAATTGGAAAAGAAGGCTCTGAGGGATTGAAGTCAGTTCTTTAACTCCCAATTAATTGTACTGATTGCAGAAGGGCATTAAAGTTCATTGAAGTAAAATATACACCACAATTTACTGTCTGTTTCTGTCCACGTGGCAGGCTACAGAAAAAAGACCTAAATGAGCACTGGGTGGAAAGGAGAGCTGGTGGACAGGCTGCTCCAGACTTGCAGAGCTTTAGGAAGGGGAGAAGAGCAAAAGGAGCAGGTGTGGCTGCAACAGGAGAGCCTAGAAGAGGAGATCAGCCAAGAGAGGTGCCTGAAATACTGCTTCACCTAAGCATTTAGGCAAGCAGCTCTTACTTTGACTTGTAAGTTACCTTATTTAACTTATAAGTTACCTTTCTGTTACTCTTCTGAATTATTTATATACCTGTAGCAGAGCTAGGAGTGTGTAACAGAGCTTTGACATCTGTTTCTATAAGATATTAGTTTATTCTTGGATCTTGCTGATACTGTTTAGTAGATCAACCATTTTCTGCTTGAATATGTGAGCTACTGACAAGTGCCACTGCTGAGTGGTTCTCAGGTGGAACATGAGCAGGCACAGGGTCAAAGCTTTGTTCAGCTTTCTGAAAAATCAATTTAAAATCTTCTGTTTGTCTAGTAGAAATAAATGGGCCACTTTGCACAGGTTGAAAACTCTTCCTTGTGTGGAATTGGGCTCCATCTGGGATATTAAGGTTTTTCTGACTTGGTGAAATTTGCTGCTGAGGTAGATACAAAGCAAATGCAGCTTCTTACAAATCTCCTCTGTTGGCAATGAAAACCTTCCAGAAGAGGTGCAAACTTGGAAACCAGCCCAGGGATTTCTTGCTAAACCACTGTAGAAATGCTCTTGTGTGCAGTCATAGCAGAACTGTTCTTGTTTTACACAACATAACACAAGAAGTGATGTTCTTCTGTAACTCCTCCCAGATGTTTATCCATGCAGGTGTGGCCTGAGTGTTGAGATTGGTGAACATTTTTGGGCTGTAAAGGCAGGTGGCAATTGTGAGTGCCCACACATCCTTTCCTCTTCTCCTCACATCCTGGACTGGTTCCTTTGCAGGGCAGTTTGAAGCAGCTTTGGGCTGATAAATCTGTCCCCTGGCTTCTGTGGCCACTGGAGCTCAGCCTTTAACTGCTGGATAATCTCCTTGGAACAATTGCACTGGTCTAACTGGTTTGACTGGTAACAGGGCATGATGTCAGTGCAGGGCACCCCTGGCTCCTTCTTACCTGCTTTGAGCAATTCCCTGAATTTCACAACAGTCACAAAACTATCAGACTCCAGCAAGTGACAGGGATTATTTATGCTGTCAGAGTATGAACACAGTCTTGTGGTTTTGGAAATGAAAAATGCAGAGGGACAGCTCTACTACCTCTGAATTATTGTAACTGATCTAGCACAGTCTCTAGAACAGCACATGAGTAAAATTTAGGATACTGGTTTGTTTTGTTTATTCTCAAATACTGAGAATGTTTTTCCTATTAAAAAAATAAACAGGAGGGGGCTGACTTCTGCCTAATAGCACAGATTAATGAAAAAACCATGTTGCTGTTCTCTGACATACCATCATGTTTCCATTCATTGTGGAATAACTGGATGTCATCATAATGCAGCAATATTCCAGCATTAGTTTATTCTGTGGGTGGTATGAAACCAGTGGGTTTTGCTTTCCCTGAGACCTAAGGGAGGCTTTCAGACTGACTTAGAGAATTTAGATTTCAGATGCTTCTCTAGATTGGTGGAATAATTTTTTCTGATTTTTTCTGTGGGTATTTTTTCGTTCTCTGTCCTCACTGTGTTATTGCAGAGTTTACAAGTGGGGTTTTTGGAAAGAAAATTATTAATATCCCTGATTTTTGCCAAATGACCACGAAGGGAAGGATTGTTATGTGGGAAATGGAGATCTGGGCTGGTCTTTATCAGGCACTGGTGGCTTCCCACAGGAAGTAATTTAAAAAATGTTTGGGAATACTTGAGACAGCAGTAGCCATGCAGCAGGAATCAAACTGTGTGGGTGAAATAACAGGATTGGGACAGTGTGAGCCTTACTGTGCACAGTAACTCTGGTGAGCCACTCCCAGCGGTGGGGCTGCTCTGTGTAATTAGCAGCAATTTCAGTGTTCTGCTGCTGCTTTTATGTTAACAGCGTCTGAAGTGTTTGCATCAGCTGGAAACCTGGGAAGAGCTTAAACTGGGGCTCCTCTTTGGTGGGAGCATGGAGTGCATTGACAATTGCTGTTTAATTAATTAGCTGTGCTTACATCACGAGCCGGACTCTCGTGTCCGATGCATTATTTCGGTACGTGCTCCCCTGGCCGGGCTCTTCCTTCCCCGCTTGGTTCCGGCGGGCGGGAGCGCTGCGGTCAGCTGGGACTGCGGGAAACGGAGCCACCGCCGCGGGCTCCGCTCGGAAAGCACCGGAGGACGAGCGGCGGCGTGACGTCATGGCCGATGTGTGTACGTCACTCTGATCGCGTCACTTGTGCGAGGCGCGCCGTGACGTCACCGTGACGCCGCGCGGGGCGGAGCGTTGCCAGGGCGACCGGACGCCGCGCGCGGGGCGGGAGGGGGCGCCACCGCCGCCACCGCTGCACTGCGGCAAGGCGGGGCCGCCGCGCGCCCGGGGCGGGAGCGCTCCTCGCCGCCCCATTGGCTGCGCCCCGCGCGGGGGGGCGGGGCCTCCGCGGCCGCCCCGCGCCCATTGGCGGGGGCCGCCCCCCTCACGGCGCTGCCGCCCCTCCCCTGAGGGCGGGCCCGGGCGGTGCCGGCAGATGAGGGCGCGGCGGGTGCGGGCGGGGCGCCCGGCGGGTCCCGCTCGTCCTGCGCTGGAGCTGAGCCCCCGTCCCGCTGCTGCCCCACCGGATCGGCCCAAGGAGGAGCCCCCCTGCACGCCCCTTCCCGTGCTGCTGGCCCCGCGCCTGGGAACCGCCAGGTAAACCCGGGAGGGGTCCCGGTGGAGAGCGCCCGGGGGGCCGCCGGGGTCCCCGCTCTGAGGTTGCCGCACTTGTAGATCGTCTGAGACGGGTTTTTATATTTTTAATTTAAAGGCTTTGTAGTTTTTAACGTTGGCTGGTACGCGGGCAAGCAGCAAAGTTGCTGTTGTTCCTGTCCGCCGCCTCATTCTGCACCATCACTTCCTTGCGTTCGTTTCAGCTGAGGATGGAAACCTCTGCCCGTCCATCCCAGCATCTTCACCTTCCCTCACGCTCTGCCCGTGCGAGGGGCAGCAACCCTTCCTTCCTGCAGGAATGGCTTGCTGTAAATCATAAAAAAGTCGAATCAGATTGTGTGTCTCCATAATGAGTTAACTCCTGAGAATCCTTTGCACCGCTTGATTGGGAATTCTGAGTATTAATAGGAATTTCTGTTCTCATGTATCTTTATATGCTGTGCATCTCAATGAGTTGGTCAGAGTTAAATAATTTGGAAACTTTGTTTTCCTCCAATTGTCATCGTTGAGGAAGGGGTTAACCTGAGCTTTCCTTGCAGTAACAGAGTGGAGAGAATCTGTACAAGTTGCTTTTTCTCTTAAGAATATGATTTCTTACAGGCTTTATGTTGCTGCTTTTAGAGAGCTCTTGCATGAGACAGAATCTTGCATGTGTCTTTATATTTCCAACAGGGTTTCCTAAAGGACAAAAAGGCAAATATTCAATGTCATGTGTAAAGCTGCAAAGAGGAGTCCCGTGCTCTTTCCAGAATATAAAAAAAATACTTCTCTTTGCCTGTAATTGTCTCCTCCTTCATTTGTCTTTGCAGTAATAAGCATATACAGAACTGTATTTTAATGTGCTGAATAAGCAAATAAAGAAACCTTTATTGAGAGACAAAGACTTGATTCTCTCTGAACGTGTCATCATGTTTTAGAGCACCTGTCATCCCTTCATGCTTGGGCTGCTTCATGGTCCACAGGGTTGATGTGTAGTAAACTTCCCTGTAAATTACATGCTCCTTTCTTTTGCAAAAACAAAAAAGTTTTCATTCTCTCTTCCCTTCTTTCCTTGATTGCCCAGTGTAATCATCCCATAGCACTTGCCCTCAAAATGGTGATTTATGGAATATTGACATTGCTGGTAATTCTACTCACATTAAGCCTATTTTATGGTGAGAAACCAAGGGATTATAATACTCCATCACTTACTTATCTCATCCAAACATATTTTTAAGCCAGCTGCTCCATGTGTACGAGCTAGCACACGAAGTCAGCCCTGTGTTTCATAAGCACTGGGCTTTGCCACTGGTGCTGACCTGCTCTGGCTGGGCCATTTCTCCTGCTGGCAGCAGAATCAGGAGATGCTCAGGGCTGGGATTGGTACTGACATCTGTCTGCACACTGACAGAGAGGAGCCTGTGCCATGGAATCACCACAGTGACACTGCCTCAAAGTGCTCTCAGAGACAGGGACACAGGGACTGATCCGCTGCTACCTGACAGTGACATCTCTTTTACAAGGGGTTCTGGGCTTGTGGAACCTGTGAGGACCTTTCTGTTCTAAAACTAATATTTTACAGCAGATTTCATTTAGACAGAATGGCTGAAATGGTATGACATTTTCTATAGGACTTGTCATCTCTTTTGTGGCTTTTTTCCCCTTCTTTTTAAAATCTCATGACTGTGGGAAACCAGTGAGTTCTCTCAGTGGGTTCTGGGGTTTTTTTTCCTCCTGATTTAATTCAGCTGCTCTTTGGAGAGAATGAAAGCTTACAGTTGCCTCTGCTGTGATTTCTGTTTCTACCAACAACAAGAAAAAAAACCCCAAAAAAACCAGAAAAAGGGCTGGAACAGCTTCTAGGGGGAGAAAAAAACAGGGTTATATTGTGCATTTCAAGCATTTTTCTTTTAGAAAGAGGGTGGTGCAAAGAAAACATCTATGTATTGTATGCTTTTAGTAACAAGTTATCAGGTGTTATCTAGGTGTATTTTCTCCCAAATTCTCTATAATTCTTGCTTTATAAGTCAAAAATTTGTGTGTGGCTTTCAAGTTCTGTTATTAAGTGTTTCTATTCTGAGCTTTTTGGCTGTGCTTTACTTGAACATGAAACTGTTAATTAATGCCCACAGTTCTTTCCCAGCAGAAACTAAATCAGTACTTTGAACTTTTACTCTGTTCCCTGGTGCTATACATACAAAAGAAGGAAAAAACCTAAGGAAATGTAATCTTGTTTTGTAAGTGTTTTCTGCTGTTGTTATGTGCTTTGTTCTGGTGTGCAGCTTACAGCTGAGGAATAGGAGGTTTTTGGAGCTGCTCATCCTGGCTGATAAGGAGTTGGGAATGTCAGGGGTTGGGGGTGAGAGCAAAGGAGATTCAGGTGTGGTTTCCTGGCTCCTAAGGGTTGCTGGCCCTTAAATTGGTATCCTGGCTTGGTTTCTGAATGATGGCAGTCAGGTGTGCTGAGCACATGGGCAGAGCAAGAGAGCAGAGCCGAGTGTAGGAGGTTTGTGGGAACAGACAAAAGTATTTGAACGTGTGTAAATTTGCATTAAAATGCTCCTCTGTAACTTTGGCTGTTTAGTCTGAGATTTTTGGAACCCTTTCCCTTGTGTTAGAGGCCTCAGAGGTGTGATTTCCCTTCTGGAAAGAGGCAGCTCAGAGGAAAGGTGGGTAATACCTGCTGCTGCTCTTGGGTTTGGTGTGCTTTGCTCATCTGCTTCTCCCTCAGGGCTCTGAGAATATGGAAATTGTGTCAAAAAAGCTTCAGTACTTGACTTTAATGCTGTGGTAAACAATTTCCTCAGTAATTTATGGAGTGCTGCAGGTAAAGCAGATCAAGGTTTAGCAAACCATGCAGTGAGACCTGCTAAAAACTCTTTCTCTTCTAGGCTTAAGTAGCCAAAGATGAGTCGTGGATTCTCAGAAAACAATAACTTCCCCTATGACAACAACCAGATGGTTCTGGATATGATCCTGTGTTCCCTGATTGGGGTTCCCCAGCCCATCAACTGGGACAGTGTGGCAAGGCTGGTTCCAGGATACACCTCCAAAGAAGTGAGTTCACTACTAAAAGAATTTGTGTGCTTTGAGCAATGCTTCATGGAGAAGAAAACATTTCTGGGGAGAAGGGAGGGAAATTGAAGCTTATCTTTTGGGTTTTTTTGTCCTGAAGTAATTTGCACCTAATTGAAAATGTTAAATGAGCAGTAGATTGAAAAGAGGTGGGGGGTTTTGTTTTGTTTCTACAGAACCTGAGCAATGAAATTGAAAAATGCATTCTGCATCGTGTTTCATTAGAACTTACACAGAATAAGAATGAAAATTACTGGGAAGGAAAAAATTAAAAAGTGGAATTAAAAAAAGGTAGCTGTGCTACTGCATTCCAAACTCCCTAGCTCAGACTTGGGTGGAAGGGATGCCAGTACCCACTAACCCTGAGCAGGCTGCAGTGTCCTGACTAGGAAACCTAAAAATTCTGTGTGTGTGTGTTGTTACAACTCTAAACAAGGAGGGGTTACAGACCTCTCTTGGGTAAGGAGTGTAGTTGCTGCTTTTTTGATCCTACAAGGTGTGGATTTTCCTTTCTTTGGTTGGAGTAGAGCTGGAAGAACCTCTGTATACTTCTCTTTCTGGATTGCTGAATTTCCTGGTGAAATGCTCTTTTTTTAAAAATAATAATAATAATAATTTTGACTTTTTCATTTCTGAGAGGGTATAAGCTAAGAAAAGAAAATGTCTTTTGCCCTTGTGATTCAGCAAAGCTGAAAGAAAACAAGACAGTGGTCTTGACTTTCTTGCAAACCTAATCAAGTGTGGCAGCTCCCATTTATAGCAGTGCTATTGGGCTTTGCTGTAACCTTGGATTTCAAACAGAAAAATGAAGGATTGGGTGTAGAAGCTTCTGTGGAACGTTGCTGCCTTTCAAGTTCTTGGCAGAGGCTTGGGGACATCTCTGTTGTTCACCTTTCAATGTGCAGACAGCACTGTGCATGTTAAATCAAATAACAGCAGCAGTGAGCCCTCTCCTCACATTGATTCATGGGATTGATTAATACATCTCTGATCACTGTTTTTACAGGACTGAATGTCTCAAATGTGTCCCTGTTTAAAGAATTCCTGTTTAAGGCAGTTAGATAAAAGCACAGATATATCAAATTTGTGACTGGCATCCCAAATTTGAGACACTGTGAATATCAGAAGGATGTCCCTGTGTGCCCCTGGCCCAAAGGGGCACAGGCATGGCATGTCTGTTAACTCAACCCTAAATAAATAAATAAAAGCAGCTGCTAATGGAGCCCCACACCTGTGTCACAGGAGCAGCACCTGTAGAATTAAGTAGATTCATTTGTATGAGCAAGTTACCTCTGGGTAGGACTTTACAGAACCAAATCTGTAATTATGATTGTGTTGGTACAAATTTACAGAACAGAAAGACTTTCCAGTTCATCAAAACCAGGGGATGGGAAGTTTATAGAATTGCAGTGGAAAGTAGCAGTCCCTTTTGTCCAAATTGGAATGAAGTCATAAAGTAAAAGAATAAGAATTGTGAATTAATTAATAGCCACTCTTAATGACATTTGACCATATTTATGGTAAAAGAACCAGTTACAAAATGAGAATTCAAACTCTCCCCATAACTTTTTCTTTGAAAATTGGGCTTAAAATCTCACAGGAAATGAAAGTTTAAACAGGTTCTATCTATTTTTTAAATCTATTTTTTAAATCCCAGACAGAGTTTCAGGAGCCTGCTATTGGGCAGGATTCCATTACTATCACTGGTATGTTTTTAGTCCTTCTGACCTATCTTGGCTTTGATAATCAGCGTGTGCATGCTTCTTCTCCACATAAGTTTTTCTTTGAAATTTGGGCTTAAAATCTCACAGGGTTTAAGGAAATGAAAGTTTAAACATGTTCTATCTATTTTTTAAATCTTCCTGTTAGAATCATTAATTATGGTAACTCTTATTTTACTGTGTGTTTATGTACTTTCTTGATACCACTGAGCAGGCAGCATTTATGAGTTTGAATCAGTAACTGTTCACGTGCAATACAGTATCCACCTCAAATCACAGTTATTAAAAATGTGCTGAAAGCTACTGCTTCATTGTCCTATCATTTAATCTTGTGACAGTGTGCAAAAAGGTTTGATGAGCTAAAAAGCAGTGGAAGTTCACCTGTTGACAACCAATATAACCCCCTGATGGCTGCTGGTGGGAGTCCTGTGGAAACTTTAGCTACGTACATCAAATCCTCCTTGCTCCATTCCCAGCCAGAGTTTCAGGAGCCTGCTATTGGGCAGGATTCCATTACTATCACTGGTATGTTTTCAGTCCTTCTCACCTATATTGGCTTTGATAATCAGTGTGTGCATGCTTCTGGCCTCAGTGGTTAAGTGCACCCAGGAATGGTGGTCATTCATCTTTGGAGGGTAAATATGAATATTATGCATACAGCAAGGCACTTGCCATTAGTTTGGTTTAAGAATCAATGTTTGCTTGGGTATTTTTGGGAACTTGTCCTTCCAAGAGGCATAAATCTTTCTGCTGGACTGTGTTTAGGATTTTGGGTGGTGTGCTGTTAACCCTGCAGCCATTTGAAGTCACGTTTAGCAGCGTTATTAAAATAACTGGAGAGTATTGTGAGGAAAAGCTGCAGGAAGCTGAGGAGGAGATCCCTTGAGGGCAAACCTTCCTCTCCCAGCTACAAGAGCTGTAATTGCAATGGATAGGTAGAGAGGAGCAAAATGTAGCTAATTTTTGCTTCAAGACAATCTTGAGATGACATAAAATGTGTCTTGGTCAATTATGTGTCCCAGTAATTACTGGGAAGAAGAGGACCAAACCTAATAGTTGTAAATTCAATCACAGCACAATTAAATATTGTTAACAATTCCTTTTGTACTGCTTCTGTCAGAAGTTGTAATTAAATGTGTGTGTTATTCTCTGATTTTCAGTACAGAGATGTTCCAGTGACTTTAGAACTTGGTAAATGTATTTGCACAAGAAATTTGCTTCAGTGATGAATAAATAATTTCTGTGTTAAAAATTAAGATGACAGTGAAGCATTTAAATGTGTTCTCTGTTCAAATGTCCTTCACTGCAGCTTTCACTGCCCCCTTTGCAGCAGAAAAACTGCTGTTTGATCTTTGTTCAAAGTGGGTTTAATAACTCTAATCAAGGGCTGATACTGGAAAATGGATGTGTAGTGTCAAGCCTGGAAGTGCTTCCCATCAGCTTTCAATGATGTGTTCCATGCCTGATGTGGGCTGAATGCTGCTGGCACCCACAGGTCCCTGTTTACAGGATTAGCAGCCTCCCAGGAGGCAGTTAACGAGCTGACTCTGCTTCTACAACTCCTGAGACAATTAGTGTTTGCTTTCTAACAATGCAGGACATGTAATGGCTATTAATGCAGTCAGGTCCACTAATGTAATGTTTCCTTTGACAAGATCCTGGCCTGAGATTGTTCTATTTTCTTTGTGACTTTGGATAAATCATTTGCCCTGTTTGAGTGTAATTTGTTGGTATGAAATTAGGGTAATTAATCTTTTTTTCTCACAGGCTTGGGTCAACTCACCTTCTTAGTATTTGTGAGGCACTTGTACATTTCAGAATTGGGGATTTGAGACAATCCTATTTGTAAATGTTTCTTTGTTTAATTAATTGCTTCCTAGTGGATTTATTCACATTAGCTTACTGTTAGGGTCAAGAATTTTGAGCCTGTTTGCATTTGTTTGTAGTCATGAGTAACAGCAAGAACAAGCAAATCAGACCATACTCACTCTGAGCTGGATTCTGGTTTTGGCTGAGTTATAAAAGCTCATTTAATACTTGCTGATAATAAGGCCAACTGCTGGTGAGTCCCTCTGATTGCATCTCATGACAGTAAATAAGCACAGAGGATAGCCTTTCACCTAAAGGTTTTGTTACAAGGTTTCAAAAGTTAATCCATCTGTGAGCTTTGGGAGGGAGGAAAGAAGATCTGAAGCAATGTGTGGTGAAGTTCAGATGTCCCCATTAATTTGGCAGTGCTGCATATTCTTGGCAGCATTATTGCCTTCAATAAATCACTGTGTTCACAATGGACTTGTTAATGTATTTGCAGGCAGAACTCTTCCATACCATATCTCATCTCTCCACAGTCCCTTCTTTTAGAGCTCACACCTTTGGTTGCTGCAGTGAGGATGGCTGCCCCGAGAGCTGTGGCTGGAGCAGCCCTGCCCAAGGATTTACTGGGAGTCAATCTGTTGAATGAACCTTCCCTTCTGCTAATTCTGCTCCCTCTATTAAGGCCTTGCTAAGACTTAACTGTGCAAGGCCTTTGGCTGCACCTTTGCAGACAGTTTAGTTTCTCTGCCTCTGGTGCAGTAATTTTGCTTTCCTGAAAGGCATAACTGCTGTGTTCTGAACCATATCATTTTTGCTGTCAGTCTGCTGTAGTTGTTCAGCCATTAGATGAAGATGAAGAGGTCTGTCTTGTTCTTCTTCAGCCTCTTACATGACTCAAAAGGGAGATGATGTTTCTGGAACTCCCAGAAGTCTGAGAGAATGGCATAATCATGGAAAATCACCACCTTAGGGTTGCAGTGGAAGACAGATACAGTGCCCATCCATTGTTTAAAGAAGATAATGATCTTTCTGACTTCCAAGCAAGATTGTTGAAGTTCCACATTGCAGTAATCCATTCACAGCTGGAAATGCCAGTCACTGCTTTAACCCTTGGTCCAGAACTCAGTGGATTTGGTGGCTGAACTCCTGAACCTCACTAGGTTGTTGTGTGCACTTTCCACTGCTTGCAGTACCTTTGTGAAGATGAACTATTTGCACCTGTAGCTCTAGGACCAGGCAAATTTCCTGCTCTGCTCTCTTTGAACATTGTTTGATGTGATCAGCTGGTTCAAGCCACATGTGTGAGAAATTTGGCAAAAACAAACACATCCTAAGAGTCTGCTGTGCTTCTCTTTGGGAGCTACTTATTCCCAAAGCTGCCACAGGATGGGTAAGGAGTGGCATTGGTCTCAAATTCTGTCCTGGCAGAAGCTTTGCTGTGGCAGCCAGGTCCCACAAAGCAGAGCAGGAGAGCTGCAGGAGAGGGTCACATTCCCAGGAGGAAGTGCCACAGGCTGTGAGTCTCATGCTCAGGGCTGAGCCAGAAGTGATCTGTGTTTGTAGCCAGGAGTCTGGGCAAGGCAGCAGTGGTGCTGCTGTGGGTTCCCAGGGGTGGCACTCAGAGCAGCAATCTGGGTTGTTTAGTGGCCCTTGGGGAAGCAGATTTGCTCTGCCTGTGCCAGTGCTCCACCATGGCTGCCATAGTTCAGTTGCATTTCCAAGGTGCTGAAGAGCAAAAGATGAGGAGGTTTTGTTCTAATGCAGCCTTTTTTCCTTACATTGAAGGAAGGCCCAGTGCAGCCTCCACAAGGAGCTGTTCTTCAGAATCTGAGAAAGGTCCTGTCCAAAACAGTGGGGAAAGCACTGATGAAACCCAGGGGTAAGAAGAGCTTTGTGTGTTTGTTACCTAGGGGATTGTAGAATTGACAGAAAGATGTCTAAATTGCTGAAATGTATCTACTGCCAGAAAGAAAACAACTGGAAACAGACTAATGAATGCTGTAAGAAATTTGGAAACCTTCTGTTGCTGCAGAAATTCAAGGAGATGGTTTGAGAATGTTGTGTGCAATGAGATGTTTGTAAATCTATGTTCCTCTGAGTGATTGATCACTGCTGTGACAGGAATGAGAAACATGCCTGGTTTTATAAAGGAATGAAACAAGACTGATGGTCAAAAACACTTTTGAAAATACTCTTGAACGTAGATTTGTCCTATGTAAAAGCAGGAAAAGAGCTGTAAATGAAAAATTTTCCCATGAATTCCAGTAGCCATCCAGGTCACTTTTATTCTATCCCATATCCCTGTTTTCCACACTCTATAATTACACTTAGAATAATGTTTGTTTGAAACTTTAGCATCTCTCTAAACAGAGACAGCATTTACTGAGTCTAGCTTCAAGCATTCCTTAAGAAATAGAGATTTTTAATATACAATAAACCAAATCTTAATTTCCACCAATGAAAATTGCTGTTACTGTCCTTGGTGCCTCAGTGATTTAGGCATCTATATCTGGTTCTTCTTTGAAGAAAATCAAGAAGGGAGAACAAACAAGTTCTCCATATAACTCAAGCAGTATCCTCTAACAAACAGGTGACAAAATTGGGGAATGGAGGTAGAAACTTTCTATTTCTGCTTCCTTAATTAAATCACACTGATTATCTGTAGATGATATGCCTCTGTCTTCTTCACCTGTCCAACAATGGTTTCTATTAGTAGTTAATAACTGCAATTTATTTTCCCTCTGTTAATAAAACCCTGTTGGTATAACAGAGTTTAGTAAAACCCTGTTTTTCCTCTGTTAATAAAACCCTGCATCAGTGCTGCAATGCATGACCCAGAGCAGGAGATGAGGTTGTTGGGATTTGGTGTCCTGATTGGCTTAGGCTCCTAATTTGCTTTGTGGCTTTTTTCCTTTGGAGGCCCAATATGGTGATCCATGTGTGTGACGAAGCCAAAAACCTGAAAGAAGATTTTGTGTGTCCTCGAGACCTTTTGATCTCAGAGATGAAATACTTTGCTGAGTACCTGTCGGTGGATGCCCAGCGCTGGGAGGAGGTGGATATTTCTGTGCACTGTGACGTTCACATCTTTGACTGGCTGATAAGATATGTCAAAAGGAACTCCAAGGAGTCTGAGACTGATGAAATGCCCACTTTAGGTAAAAGCTGATCATTTCTTGTAGGTTTGCTATGTTCTGTACTAATAGAAGCTGGATGGTTTTGCTGCAGTTCAGCCCCAGTCTGTTTCTGACTGTTGTCAGTGGTGCCTCAGGTTTAGCTTTTCTATTTTTCAGATTCTCTTTAGTGTGTGGGTCAGGGCTCCATATTATGGGATGGTGAGCTCTCTGCAGAGCAGGGAGACAAAACAATTCCTTCTCTAGCTGGGGACCAAGGACAAATGATCCAGATCTCAGGCCCAAGAGCACAAACAACGTGGGCTGAAGAGAGAGAAAAACAAGCAGGATGGGACTGCATGGACTAAAGCTGGAACTGAACAATGAACTCCAATATGCAAATGGAGCAGAACTGATCAAAGTGACAGACCCTGTGCCTGGTCATGCATTTTGTGACCATTTTGGGTTCCCCTGGGGTGCAGCCCTGGCTGGGCTCTTGTGCTGCCCAAGGTGGATCCATTGAGGCCTCCCAATAAATCCCTGCTTTATTCTTCAGCTCTGTCCAGCCTCTGTTCCAGGGCAGCCCTCCCAAGGCATCAGCAGTTGTTAGAAGAATGTTGCAACAGAGATCCTCTGGTCATTTCAGCACATGACTCTGCTCTGCCAGCACTGACAGCTTTGAGGAAACATGCTGAAAGTTGAAGCAATAAAAAAGCCCTAATATATTTTGGGATGTGATGGTTTTAATTAAGATTCTTCAGGCCTCTTCTGACCAAGGGCAGAGTGGTAGATTTTAAATGCTGATGATTGGTTTGTTTGTTTCTCCTCTGCTCCCTGTTGGTACAATTGCAATGTTTTCTCCAATTTCAATGCAATCCAATACAATGGTAGAAGAGTCTTTGTGGATTTTGAGGCAAGTTTTTAATGAGCTTTTCCTACCACTTTTTAAAATATAACTTGCAATGTGAAGGTTACATTGAAAAAATCTCAGCTGGGTGTGATGGCTACAGATGGAAGTTAATCTTGTGTAATTGTTTAGTCAGTACATCCCTGTGAAGCCTCCTTTTCCAATTTTAATAATTTTTCCATAGTTATAGGGTTTTTTTTTTATTTTTCCATAGTTATAGTTCTACTCTGGCCACTGAAATGGTAAAACCAAAAGTTTATTTCTTAAGATGATTAAAAGGTTCTGTATACTGGAAGATGGAATGACAAGTTGATTGCTAAAATAATAGCTAACACAGATGCTAAATATGAAGAGAGAAGGATGTGATGTGAAATTACAATAAAAAATCCATGTAAAAAAACCCTTTTTTCTATTGCCTCCTAGAACCATCAAATGTCATCTCAATCCTTATTTCTTCTGAGTTTTTGAAGATGGATTCATTAGTAAGTATTAAGAAAGATTGATTTTCTGGCAGGAGGGCACAGTTGTTAATTACCAGGTGTCCTAACAGCTTGTTTGTTGTGCTCTGGCTGTTACATAAACAGCTGCTGCAATGAGAACAGTTTGAGATTTTTAACACTTCTCTTCAGTACAGTAATCCAATATTTGCAGACTCTCAATGCAATAAAGAGTATGTTATTTCTAAATGTGATAGTGTGATCTAGAGTGCTGTTTTACATCCCTTTCTACATGAATGATGTATCTGCAATTCAGGATCTGATTTTCCAGCTCTGTATAAGGAATAGCTGCTGACTTGGTTAAAATATTTGTCAAAATTTCTGTCATTGGGGTGGCCCACAGCAAAGCACAGCTGTTGAAGTTGAGATCCATGAGTTTTGTGGTTCTATTTCAACAAGAAATTGGCAAGTTACTGAAATTTTTGGAGGAGAATATAAACTAAATCATGTTATTCAGCATCAACTTTAGGCAAATCTGAGGCTTGCTTTTTATTTTTAAGCCAAACTGAAATTTGGTTTTGGTTTTTCCAAAACACCACACTTAAAATAAAAGTCTTGAAGCAATTAGTATGGTGGGGTTTTGTCTAGAATTCCTTCACACTGATATTTCTATTTTTCCTAGGTAGAGAAATGTATTCATTATTGTCACAAAAATATGAACGCTATTGTAGCCACGCCGTGTAACATGAACTGTATCAACGCTAATCTTGTTACACACATTGCTGATCTCTTCAGGCACAATGAGGTGGAAGAGCTGAAGGACAAAAGAGACAAATTTAAGAGGTAACTTTTTTTTGCCTTGTAAAACACTTCTGAAGTGCTGTTGAGCTTTGGGATCATATTTCATAACAGCTAAGACTGTGCAGTTTGAAATCATATATTAGATATATTCTTATGGAATGTATTTTTAATGCAGAATATAATGGTGTGACTTCAGAACTTTATATTAAAATTATGAGCAAAAGGAAAGAGCTTTTATAGGAAATGAGCAAAAAGAAAGGCCACACTAGGAGCATGGCATGGGAGAATTATTCATGAATTCTCACATGGGAGCAAGGATTAGGGGAGAAACCTTTTATGGGATGACATGCTCCTAATTGGTAGAGAATGGTTTGGCTTCAGCACCCTGTGAACTTGGATGGTTGGACTTAGAATTCAGGGTGGCTGGGAGGCTCAGTAGTTGTTCTGGAATGTTCTTTCTTACATCAGGATCCCAGCTCAGTATCGAGATAAGGGCCAGTTACTGGAGGGCAGACTGACAGACAAGCAAGGTGGAAGAAAGTAAGGGAGGATTTTAGTCTGTAGGGATGAAGGCTTAATCCTAGAATGAAGTGCAGTTTCACAGCAGCATTCACTAATTAAAGGTCTTTTAACCAAGGTAGAAGCTGGGAGTTGATATTGGCAAGCATTGTAGTAAAGAAAAAATCAAAATATCACTTTTGTCACACTTGTGTAAAAATGAGATGGACAGGATAATTTAAAGGAAAATTATATTAAAAGCTAGATTCTGTGAGTGACTTTGCTTATCAGAGTGTGATTGTTAATCTCACTATACATAAAGCAATTTTCAGGTTTTTTTCTAATGGGTGAGCTGTGTTGCTGTCATTAATAGTAAACTTTTCTGCAAGAAGATTGAGAGACTGTTTGATCCTGAGTATGTAAATCCAGATTCTAGAGGAAATGCAGCAACTTTATACAGGTATGGCATTTTTATTTGGCTGCTTCAATAGCAAGGGCAGCCCCTGTGTTTAGAAGCCCTGCTCTTACTCCAGTGCTTTCTTTCCTTCTTTCTCTTTTTTTTTTTTTTTTAATTTTTTAATCTAGGTGCTGTTTATGTAAAAAGTTGCTAACCAAAGAAACTGAAAGGAGAATACCCTGTGTACCAGGAAAAATCAACATAGACCAACATGGGAATATTGTCTATGTTCATATAAGGTAGTGAATATTACATATATAAAATGTTTTTTCAACTCTCATTTTGGGTGATTTTACAAGTACTACATACTTAGATACATTACAAAATTAAGTCACAGATATGTGAAGAGTAAATGAAGCACCCCAACTTGTATTACCTAGCAAAAAATAAAACATGGGGGATGTGATTATGATGATGTGTTACTGAAATTCATTCAGCAGTGCTGCTGCTGAATGAAAATGGGAAAACTGCAGCCATGATTACTGGGAGGGCTATTTTTGGGTTGCACTGCTTTAAATAGAAAATACTCAGCTAATTCTTTCCTCAGATGGTTTTAAGATGTATGCAGTTGATGGTGATAGATTGAATTAAATGCTGCATTTCTGCAAGGTTTTTCAGTGAAGGATAGAGCCCACTATGCCAGCAAAGAAAGGCTAAAGAGTATTTCCTAATCTGACTTTATACTGTCAAATCAAATGCTCACCCTGCTTAAAGGCTGCTATGAATAAACTTTGCCAGTTGTTTTTCTGTTCCTGCAGTATTTGTCAGAGGAGCTTGCAGCACCTGTTCTGTTTGCAAGGCTGATTCATTTGGCACAAATGTTTAATTGAGTTCTGTCTGATCTGTGGCTGTGAACAGCTGGATTCTCCTGTTAATGAAGATCAGTCCATGATCAGCTGCAGCTCCCTCCCTTCCCACATGCCCATTTTGAGGGGGATGGTGGGAGATTAATGACAGGAGGCCTTTCCCATCAGATCCCTTTGGTTCAGAACAGCCCAAACAGTTCCATACAGCTCCCACCAGTTATTCCAAGGTGTGGAGTTCAGTTCTGCCCAGCACCTACGTAGAACCACATCTTGTGCCCCTGTCCTGACCTATTTAAGATCATTGGTGATTAGTCACATCAAATTCATTAATTGCATTACTTCACTTAAGCTGAGTGTATGTGGCTGCTCTGCAATTCCCAGCAGATAAATGTGCAGGGCTTTAAAATTACTCAGAGGATTATCTAGATTCTAATTATTTGCCTTGTGCTACTTGTGATGCTTTGCTACACAGAATATGTTTACTGAGAAGTGATGCTGGCCACTAATGAATTCAGGCTCAGGAGCTAATACAGTTCTATCTTTCATGGTTTAAAAATAGGTTTCTATTTATTGGTCCTCTAGTGGTGCCTAGAACTGACTTCCAACTGGATGTGCTCCTTGCTTAGTCTAGGATAGGCACACATTTAACAAAAATGCTTCAGGCCAGGGCTTAAAATTGGGAGGAAATTTTATCTGCTCTTTCTGAAGATAACATGCCCCACTGCAAGTTGCACATTTTCTTTCAAATTCTGAAGAGGTGTGTCTCATTTGATCACAAGGAAGGAACAAAGTCCTGTGTTTTTAATACTAGAACTGCCAGGTATGTACCTTCATCAAAATGGCATGAGCTTGTGTTTTCAAACTGTGTTTCTTAGCTGTTGTTGTGTTGCAGATAGATAGAAGATGTTTATCTTAGCTTGTAAATTTGCACTGTATGGATTTTGAGGTGAATCAAGCTGTAATTCTTTGTTAGAGTGAGTTTAGGATTTTCTGAAAGAATAAAGTCTCCTCTGTCATGCTCTGAATTTAGTAATCATTGTCTGACATTGTGTCCCTCCTGTTGTAACTATTGGAGAGGCTTTTCACCAGTGTTTTCTGCTCTTTCTTTATCTTCTGGTCCTGGTGGCAGGATCAAAAGAGAGTCAACTCTGCTGTTTTGCTTTTTCAGAGACAAAACCTGGGAAGTGCATGAGTATTTAATTGGCCTTCACGAGGAGCTGAAATCCTGGCGGGACGTTTACTGGCGTCTTTGGGGGACGGTCAACTGGCTGACCTGCTCAAGATGTAACCAGGTTAGGGAATGTCACTTTGGCTTGTGGTAACCAGGTTAGGGAATTTTACTTTGGCCTATGGTAACCAGGTTAGGGAATTTCACTTTGACTTGTGGTAACCAGGTTAGGGAATTTCACTTTGGCTTGTGGTAACCAGGTTAGGGAATTTCACTTTGGCTTGTGGTAACCAGGTTAGGGAATTTCACTTTGACTTGTGGTAACCAGGTTCAGTAATTTCACTTTGGCTTGTGGTGGGTGACTTTTGAGGGGTGAAGCAGGGATTAAAGCTGTTTGGATAATATTTGCTAATAAAGCTAGGTACACATTCTTTACAGTGCAGAACTTTCACTTCCATAGGTTGTCTCACCTCTCACTCTCTGTGTTTTGATGTAGTCTTTCCTGTGCACTGAGTTCTCCCACTGCCAGTACCACTCGCAGCCAGTTCTTTATCCAGGTGTAGCAAGTGCTCTGGGCTCCACTGGCACAGGAGTTTATCCCTGCTGTAACCAAAAAGTTCTTCGGTTTGACCCCACAACCCTCCCAAAGGTACTTCAGCTCTCCTTTACAGAGCACAGCATGTGGTGGGGTGGGCAACAGTGTGTTAGGAAAATAGATCTTTTTCCAAAATAAGGATTGTAATTCAGAAGCTGAACTTTTGTTGTTATACTGACTGGAATCAGATTCTTCCCGTTAAGTCAATATTTGATCTTCTGCCTCTGTGTATTGCAGGGCTGCAAAGTGAGGGATCATGTGGTGGAGTTACCTCCAGAAAGCAAAGATGGGGAGGCTCTGCCATCTCAGAGTGAAGAGGGGGATGCTCTGCCCTCTCAAAGTGAAGAGGGGGATGCTCTACCATCTCAGACTGCTCAGATCTTGAATGATCTGCTGCATCATAGGGATGTTATAGTTGTTCCTTTCACTAAGGATGAGAATAGGTAAGAACATTGTATTGTGCTACTGAAATAACTTAGCCCTCAACAGTGAACACGTGTGCTGTTATATTGGAGCTCTCTCCCATTTCAAAATGAGTCACAGGTCTTTCTGAGGGTAACTTATTTTTGACTGTTTACTTGGAAATTGAAGAACAAGTACTTTCTCCTTTCACTTTTCAAGCAGGCTTTTAGTCACTCAACCTCCGTAAGCATTCACTGCTGTCTTTATATTTTAATGTATTTCTGTCAAGATGTTATGTGTCTGACTCAGAGGTCTGCCTGCTCTCTTGATGCATGTCCAGGCAATGGAGGCTGATTCTGAAGTAGAGGAATAAAAATGTTTAATTTTGGTTTATGTATTTCTCTCAAAGTGATTCTGGTATTGGGCTTGGTGATGACAAAGGCCTTGAATGTGATGTGCTTGTAGAACCAAATACACCATGGGGCCCCAAAACTGGAGAGATCAATGCTGTGAGTACTGATGCTTTTCCTTCTTTCTTCCTAATAATGAAGAAGTTCTTGAAGAACTTTTAATAAAAATAAACCCCATACATTGTTGGAGTAAGACATAGGTACAAAATACCTGGTAAGTGAAAAGGCAAAACTTTTCCCCATGTCTGCTGGAAATATTTCAGTACATAACTTCTCTCCTGTCCTGGACTGATTTTTCATCAAAAGATCAGCTGTAAATATTTTTAATGCTAAACTTACTTTCACTAAACCATGACTTGACTGCATTTAGTTGGTCAGTGGTTTTCAACCTACTTGGGTTTGATCATTCCACCAAAATTTGGAGTTCAAGATGGGAGGAGGCCTGGGAGTTACCAGTGTGGAGTGCTGTACTGTAACATACAACTCCTATTTTTAGAATTTCTCTCACTTTTTTATTTGAATTATTATTATTTCTTTAACTTATATGCCTTTTTTCTCTTTGTGACTCCAGTTTTTGTCTCTGAAGAACTGGACTTTGCAGCTGGTTAGTAAAATATTTTACTGATTTTAAATATTTGGTCTTCTGTACTAGCAAAGAACTAGCTTTGATTTTTATCTTATTTCCTAATAAATGAGACAAAATATGCAATTTTTTGCTTTAAATTGGAGATTGCAGTATAGCAACAAGTTTTTACAAGAAAGCATTAGTGTGAAGTGCTACTTTTGCATTAATAGAAATGAGAAATTCCTTTGAATGTGTTTATAAATGGCAGCAAGCCACACTAGCACTGCATGCATCAGTTATTAATAGTTAATAGTTTTTTAGGCTGGCAGAAACATACTCAAAACTTTGGATTTGATTTATCTGTCTCTCTTGGCTGGTCTGAGGGGCTTCAGGTCTTCACTGTTAAGCTTCATCATTTCTCATTACTAGGCACTCATTATCACTTATTGAGGTAATTCTGTATATTCAAACAATGTAAACATCACATTACTGAACATTTCCATAATTCTGTGCTGATTCACTCTTTGGTCACTGAGATAGGGAGCTGTGCTGGGTGTCAGCAGCTGCAGGACAGATTCAATATATCATTGAATAGAAACCCAGGCTCCCTTTTAATCTCTGGCTTCTCCTGGTGTTGGTTAGAAGCAGCAATCGCTGTTATCTGAAGAGGAGGAGTACACCACGGGCTCAGAGGTCACTGAGGATGAAGTGGGGGATGAAGAAGAAGTGTGCAAGAAACCAGGTACATCAAGTCTTTACAGTCCTCCTCTCTGGAGTTACCTGATAGGGATTTGAGGCAGCAGAAGTCCTCTGTAAGCAGATTTTGAATATCAGGTGTTTCAAAAGAAAACCCAAAGTTATTTGGATTTTATTTGAGGCAGCAGAAGTCCTCTGTAAGCAGATTTTGAATATTAGTTGTTTCAAAAATAAAACCCAAAGTTACTTGAATTTATCCCAGGTTTTCCTGTGGTTAGATACAAATTACCCCACTGCTTGGTGCCATCAAAAATCACTGGCAAGCAAGAAAAGCTGCAGCTATTCATGTCTGAGAACTCCCTGGAATTATCAAGCACTTATTTTGCAGGAAACTCTCAAATTAATGAGATTTCATGTAATGAATGTTGGAAGAAAAGGCAGCAATTTTTTGCTGCTTTTACATGCAAAAAAATCCCCTGCAGATTTGTCTTTTGATTACATAGAGGAATGATTGGTTAATGTAGTTAAAATTGTGTCTGCATTGAAGCTAAGCTGTATATGATCTGAAAATACTTTTATTCATTTTTAATGTGTTAATGGGTTTAGGAACATGGAAAGCAAAAAACCAACTTCTCCTTTTCACCCTACTGATGATTCATTGGAACAAAAAAAAAGAAATTTTTGTTCTTTTTGTCATTACTCAAAGGGCAATTAGAATTGTACCAGTTTAAAAATATATATAAATTTTGAAAGAAAATGTTGTCATTTAAATTTAAACTTGTTTGATCTGATTTGCTCAGAATTTAGTCATTGAATTAATATGGTCAAAAGTATAGCTTGCATGTGCATTAATTTTTAAATATAAAAAAATGTATGCTGTTATGTGCAACCACTCTGCATTTTAAATGCATACTTGAATTGCTGTTTATTTCTTATAGAAAAGCATTTGAGTAGTGTGTGTTAGCATGCCTGCAACGCTGATAAAAGGAAAACAGCCTATTGATTTACACTACTTGTAAAGAAATTGAGGGGCAAAAATACTTTAGTAGTTCTGTAGTTGAGAAATTCCAAGCATCTGAGGGTATGAATAGACATTTCTTCTATTAGCAGGGAGAAAGGAGAAACTAAAGAAATCCTACAGGCACCCAAAGAAAGCAGTTTCTTCACCTAGTGTTCAGAAAAGGGAGAAGCCATCTGATAAGGTAAAATCACAGCTGTGAATCCAGGCTCTCTGGCTGGCTTAAATAATGAGCAATTTTCTCTAAGTGTTGGACTTGACCTTAGACAACCACATTAAATCTGGTTTTTCCTTCAACAGTCAAGTTCCCGAGACGCTTCTCCTTTCATGTAAGTCATTTTCAAAGCCCTTTTGAGCACATTTTAGTATCTCCCTCTCTTAAGCTGCTCCTGGTAACAGGGTTTGTGCACCTTTCCCTTGCAGTGTGAGCATGCAGCAGAACAAGTGGGATGCCTCCAGGTCCCTGAGATACAACCAAGATGCTCAAAGAGAAGATGGTCTGTTCCTGCATGAGTTTGCCTTTCATCAAGTTAACACTATGCAAAGGAAATGAGCCAGCTAATTCTCTTAAAATTCACTTAGTTACATCCCTCTAGGGTGAATTTAATCTCAGATCCAGCAGTGGGATTTGAGGTGTTTGTGTGATTTATGTGTTTTATTTGGAATGTCAGCACAGAACCTACAGAGATTATAGCTGTGTCATCTCATGATTATTAAAGTATGCAGATATTTTTTCCTGCATCCCTGTGGCATTTGTTGTCTGTGCAGATAAACAGAGAAACATCCACTTCCATCTCCTTCCCAGTCTCTGTGACTAAAAATATTCAGAATTGGGTTAATTTGTTCTGCCTTTTTTAATCTCTCCTGAAGCTCTTGTGCAATTTTGCTTTTTTAAAAACTTCTGCCTCCAAACCATTTCCTGAGATTTTGATCTCAGTGTAGTGCCTCAGGCTGATTCTGGTATCTGCCAAGGCTGCTGAGGCTACATCAGGGTTTAGGAGCTTGGCTGTTCAAGACTTTTATATAAACTAAAAAAAATTACAAATCCAGTATCACTGAAGTCTGTGTCTAATCCTCTTTGTGTTCAGTAGCAATGAAAACCTTTGTTCTAAATATCCTTTCTTACTTCTGACAGATCAGAGAAGAATGTCTGAGATCACAGGGCACTTAATAAAAATGAGACTGGGAGACCTTGATCGAGTCAAGTCCAAAGACAGCAAAGAAGTAAGATTTGTCCTGGCAAAATGTAATGTTTGCAGAGTTGAAGTGAGCCTTGCTTAACAAAAATATTAAACACAAATGAAAGTAACATCTATTCAATACATAAGCTAAAGAATTCATTTTATCAATCTTCCTTTTGTTCCAAGTGTGATTTTTTGAGGATTGGAGTTTAAAATAATATTTAAAGTTCACTGCTTTTAAAAACTGCTTATGGAAAGTAGAATGGGTTTGACAAAAACACTGCTGGGTTGTGATAATGGACAAAAGTATGCTGTAGATAGTGCTGAATATTAGTGAATTTTATGGAAAGTTACTGATTGCATTGAAATCATGTCAAAAGTTGAGTATTTTTTCTGGATTCCAGTATGCAGGAGGCATTTATTCCAGGCTTGAAGCTCAGATAAAAGCCTCAGCACAGGTCAGTGCACGACAAAGCAACGCTGAGAAGAATCCCAGGTAAGATTTTAAAATAAAAGCAAGAAAAACTCCTGGATTTTGGGAGTGTGGGGTGGTGGGTTTTAAAGAAACATTTTAAAGAAAAAACATGCTTCAGTTCACACACTTCTTATGGATCAGCTTCTACCAGGTTAAGCCATATGAGGTGCAAAGGCTTCCCTTGGTCTCCCAGTAGAGCTAGGAGAATGAAATTCTTGTTGGGGGAGGTTCCCTGCAGCTCCAACATAATTTTCTTTTTGGGAAACTACGGAAAATCGGAAAAGTGTCAGCCAAGATTTTTATCCAGTTCTTCGTCCACCGTGTAGAACTAAACCAAAAAACCCCCACACATCAAAAACCTGCATTAATAATAAAAAAGCCCTACATGAATAATGTAAATATGTTTCTCATGTGTTTTTAACCCAGGTCAAAAACCCGTTTTGGCCCAGGCCGTCCCACATGAGGAGTCATGGACATGCTTTAGCCAGAACTCATTACTGCTTCCTGAAACTCCACTGCACTCTGACAATGGACAATGCACATCTCTGAAAGCTTGCCAGTGACTTATTTATTACTTTAAGCCTTGTAAATTATTTTGTGCTATAAATGAATGCAAACCCAATAAGGTCTGTACTTATTTTAATTGTAAATATACTATTTGTTAAAGTTAAATTTAATTGCTTTTTTTAGGCTATTGCGTTAAGTTGCATAGAAAATATTTTATAAATCTACAAAATTAAATTATCAGACTAACTTTATTTATGGGGGAAGATACAAATATGCCTTTTGGTATGCTAGAAATACTGAAAAGGAAAAAGCAAGACTACTGAGTTCTGAATGCAGTCAGCAGCATTAACCCAAGTCTCCTTGTGTATTTATATTGTGTTGTATTTGATGGTACATTTTAGGTCAGTCTTCTGGGGATTTGCATTCAAAGTCCATGACAATACCTGAGACTTAGACTAGTTTAGGCAAAATTTTCATGCAGTTCTGAGATTCCTTGTGTACATCACACAACTCCCACTCCTCTGAAGGTGGGTAGCAGGTAGGGACTAGACCTCCAAAGATGCTTTCAGTGCTGTGATGGTGCAGCATTGCATCTTGCATGTGAACCACTTGCTTTTTCTTGGATGTGAAATCTGTACCCATCCCCATTCCTGACCCCTCCTGCACAGGACAGTGCTTTGTTCCCTTCTAAAACCCAAAGCTTGTGATGCAAAGCAGTTCTCTCTCTAACTGATGCTATGCCACTAAATTTCTGAACAGATCTGTTATTAATTTCTGCATCATTCAACAGAGATGTATCCCTACAAAGGCTTGTGCATGTCAATCTTTTGGGTCTAGTTACTCCCTGAAACCTGCCTGATTAACACTGTTTAGAAGTCAGATGCACTTTCAAGTTCTGTATTTGGAGCAATAGAACACAAATCCAGGGCTACCAAAATGAAATAACTTGCCTAGAAAATATGTTGCATATTAGCAGAGAAAATGGCAATAATAATAATAATAATGATGAATGCTGAATTCAAGGAAACACATTCTGACTTTTTGAAACAGGTAGAAAGAGAGCTCAGGGAAAGCTTATTCCAACTCCTGGCTGTACAATAAATGGGGAGTTTGGAATTAAGTCAGCAAGTTCCTGGGTGGGAGGGTGGGGTGGGGTAAGGAGAGGGAGATTGGTTTAAATGCTCTTCTCTCCAACTGGGCTTTTTTTGTTTGTCTTGTTCCCTGATGGTTTTTGGTAGGTGTTAGAGGACTAGGATAGCAATACTTGAAAATACTGCTGTCAAGGTGGAAGATTTTTATTGAAACAATTAATAATCAGTGTTACTTGTGTGTTTTGTCCAATGCTGTAGCAAATTTGGAGCCCAGTGAAACCAACAAGCAAAATTGGGTTTCAGTGGTTTTGATTTCGGGCAGGAGCTGTAACTTTGCAGGAGTGCTTTAATCTGTTATCAAATAAATAAGGTTTTGTGAATGCCTCAGGCCTGTTTGCAAGTACTAATGCAGTTTGAAGCACATGTAGTTAATGTTGGAAAACTGATTGTTGTTTGTTGAAAGTATTATAAAACCCATCAGGTATGAAAAATGCGGTAGAAAAAATGTTTTGCTACAATTTTGTGACTTCTGATAGAGGGTTGCTCCAAATTCCCATGGTAAACCTGGGGTGAAAGTTGCAGGCTGCATGTGTGTGTGTTTAGTTTTCATAGAACTACTGACTAGAAGAGAAAGGAAAATTCTGCTGGTTTTATTCTGTGGGGAAGTGCCAGTTCTACATGCCAGTATTGTTTAATTCAAAAATATTTTTGAGCATATACAAATAATATACATGATGTGCAGTGTTATCTTTTTTTCCCCATGCCAACCACCTTGAATTTTTATCTTGTATTAATTTTGAAAATTTGTCTTGGTTTAATGGAAATAAACATTATTAATTTAAGAAGTGTGTGAGTTTTTTATAGATGCTTTTAAGAGCTAAGTATGTGCATAGATACTGTTTGATGGTCTCAGTCATGCATGTGTATTTGTGATTAAATTGCAGCATCCTCATACAGGCTTTTTGTCTGTCAAGAACAGGATATCATTAAATGCAGAGCTATCCATATCTACAAGAACTTCAAAGATTTTTTATCTGCATCAAGTTTTGAAGCTGGACTAAAAATTCCTCAGTGAGCTGCACTACAACTGACCCAAGTATGCAAAATGTCAGGCTAAGCTATGTTTAAAAAACCATGTAATTTTGCTTTGCACTGCCACAGTGCAGATTGTTTAAAGGGTGCAATCTGTTAAATCGGTGAATACAATTAGTTTCCATGATTCTGTTTCTAGGAATTGCTGATGGATGTCTTGGATGTCCTGTATTTGTACACTTGGGCTGTTGGGAAGGCTGCAGTGGACACCCTGCTGTCACATGTGGGTATAAATGACCTTACTGCACCCTGGAGCTCTGCCCGTCTCCTGGATGCCCAGAAATCTTGGAGAAAGGCACAGAATTTTAAATTCAGTCTTGGCTCCAAGGGAAAAAGATGTTGTGTTAGGAGAAGTGTGGACATATGGTTGCCCCAGTCTGTGAATAGCATGAGCATGTTTGATGTGACTGAGTAACACCTTTCTCTTGGCCAGAAGGAAATCAGTGTTTTAAAAATCATTGTTTCCTGTTCTTGTTGAGTGCTCAGACATATGGGATTGTGTTGGGAAACTGCTCCTGTGCATCAGATGCTTGCTTTGAGCCATATATGAAATTTCTGCTTCCATTTAGGCACTTCCCTCCCCACTCCAGGCCAGTGTGACACCTTAAATTATTCCTGATGTCCAAGACAGCAGCACACACAGACCCTGCAGACATTCCTCCTGCAGCTCAGTGAAAACTGACCTTCATGAATTGTACCACTGTGTTCTGAGCTTTTTTCTCTATTTCTTAATAATTAGGGAGTTACAGAATCCTTTGGGTTGGAAAAGACCTCCGCGATTGAGTCCCATTTTTGAGCAGGTGAAGAAGACTTGACTCATGCTAAATTTATCTTCTCATAGGAATAGATTCACTGCTGACTCCCCTTCTGGCTGTATCTATAAATAAAAGCAGCCAGAGGCTTTTCCAGGCTTGAGGCCAAGTGACACACAGAATGGCCATGTCCCTGATGTCAGGGGCTCATCCTGTCCCTGAGCAGCACCAGGGTGAGCCTGAAGGATCCAACAGCCCATTGGAAGGCTGCAGCAACTGGTAAAGTGTAACAGGACTGTGGGATCCTCCACTCTGGGAATCATAGGGGCATTCAATGCAAGTTTTGGGAGGTGCTGGTGTTGGTTTGGACCCTCACAGCAAAACCATTGTTGTAGCTTCCAAAGAGAGAATTCACAGAATTAATCTCAGCGGCAGTTTTCATCCTACATCTGCCTGTAGGGGTTTGTGTACACCAGGGGCCTTCTTCCTTCAGCTTTTGGGCTCTTCCCCATGGATAATGTGGGAGATCTTGCTGGAGTTTGATCCTCTAAGGTCTCATGCCATCTCTCATGGCTGAGCTGCCAGCTCTCTGGGGGGGCTCTTGCTGAGGGAGCTCCCAGAGAACACTGAGGCTGCATTGCCTTCCCTCTGCTTTGTGATATCCAAAAGTAGATCTTAATTACTGGATTAAGGCATCCAGCACATGAATATTTCCAGTGGTCAAGAGGATTTGTTGCTAGAACTTTTTGGTACAAATATCAGATTATGTAGGCTCTGGCCTGGCTGTGATAGCCTGAAGGTATTTGGTGAATTAGGTATTATGAATTTCCTTTTTCTTCTTCACAGGAGGCCTTTTGTGCACAGACCTGCCTTCCTCCTGTGCTATATAAACTTGCAAAGGCTTGGCCGTTGTAGATATGGGGAAACATCAGCCCAGGGAGGAAAATTACCTACCTGAGATTGGCACCAGCAATAAATAACACCACTGAAGGCATAATCACTGCTGCATGTGGCCTTTGTTCAAAAAACATGGTTCCCATGCTTGAACTTCTTTTAGTGTTTCTTTAATTGCTTCTGCTCGAGTTGCTCCCACATTTCATTTATTCAAGGCTAGGACAGCATAATGGTAATTTTATTTTTAGTTGTTTTATGCAGGCTTATTGTATTTTGTGTTCTCATTCAGCCTACAGTAATTACTTTAGTGTCCACAATGACTAAACATGATGGCACAATCACAGAAGGACCTTGGGCTGGCAGCAGTTTCCCTGCTGTGTATTCACTTGCTCCTTCCAATTCAAGGTATATTTACCTGCAAGTGAGACTTTCAATCATGTTGTTTGTAGTCTTTGAAGTTCTCTACAAGCTTAAATTATTGGTGGTTTTGGTTGGGTTTTTTGGATAACTTCATTGAAGTAAAATGTTTTGGCTGCCTGCTGAACTTATTTTCAGTGTGTAGTATCTGCAAAATAGTAGAAATGCTTCAGAGGTGTGTGCTTTCATCACATCAAATAGTAACCAGTTTTCAAACAGGAATTCTGGATGCATTTCTTGTGGAACAGAGTTATGTGAAGATACTCTGCCATCACTGCACGATAAAAGGGGCAGTGCTGGTCCCTTTGCCTCTTGACTCACCCCATTCATTTCCTTTCCCAGGGAATATGTACATTTCTCTCACATTGGCCAGGACACCTTGCTCATTTATTCTTGGCTGGAAAATTAAAATAAAAATGCCCTTGTCACATTTTGTGTCGCAGCACAGATGTGGCTTTCCGTGTTGGTTTATTTTTTATTGCCCAGAAGGACTTTGATCTCACAAGCTGAAGATGATAAGCACATTATATAATTTGTGGGCTGCTCTCAGAGGCTCATTCCAGTCTTTTGCCTTGTTCTTGGTGAAGCATTTGTCAGGATAATCACTAACCTGTGATATGGCAAATGAAACGATGCTTTGCTAGTATTCTAGATGAGAAACAACCATCTGGTTTTGCCTTGAGTTGGATATTTCTCCTGCAGTGCTCATGGCTCTCTCCAGAGCTCTGGTTTTTGCTGTGGTTGGCTGGGTTACCTTCCTCTGCCTCAATGCACAGAGTGAGTATTGTTATGTTTATAAATGCCTGAGTATTTTACTGCTTTTATTGAAATGGAACAAAATTACATTTATAAAATTCATACAAATCACAAATCTAGAAGTTTCAAATGCTTTGATTTATTGATAAAATCATTTCTAAACAAGCAATCTTGGTGTCTTTGGAAGTGGTGTTTGGGCTTTCAGGGACTGAGTGATGGACAGGTGAAGACCATGCCCTTGTATATACAAGGGTTTTTACAAGTTTTCTTTAACTTTGGGGGATTTGATTATTTTATATCTGCAGTACTCTATAATTTAAATACCTAGGCTGAAGCTGAGTCTGAGGACAGAAAATTTTAAAGTTGGAATCAGTTGCATTCCTTGCTGCTGCTGCTCAGCTAAATTAGATTGGAGTAGTTACCATTGTTACTTCTGCTCTTCATAGTGATAAGTACTTCACTAAAAGTTCTGTTTGATGTATTGAGGCTTCCTGAAAGTGAAAACTGCCAAATTTTTCTCTTTTTCACTGCTCCAGAGCCTAGGCTTTAGCATACTCAGAGATGGAGGTGGTGAATTAAACCTTAAACCAGCAGCTGCTGACTAGAAATAGTCATTAGGATTCTATTCAGTGACTTGTGTAGAAATCTGCTCACTTCTAAATGAGATCATATAAAGTGAGGCAGATATGAAGACACCTACCTAGGCAGGGGAAAATAACCCACTACTTGTTTATACCAAATGTCCCTTTGAGTATTCATTAGGATGGCAAGGATAAGGAGTAAGGACATTCTTAGGGTTGGTGCAAACCCACATAAAGACCACAAGAGTTGCACAGGTATCTGTAAGAGCATGGCTTGCACTCTGGAAGCTTTGCTGCTGAAGTCTAGCCATGGAAGGGGGAAAGTTTTGGTAGATTTCTTGATTTTTGTGTGTATAGTTTGTAGATCTTAATGATTAAAACAAAACGTCTGTCACTTCTGCCACACAGAGAAAATGTAGAGAGGTGACTGAGGTACAAGAAGCGATTTAGGAAAGCCACTTCTCATGAAAAAAATACTCCCAAAGGGCTCCTTCTCTAAAAGTTTAAGGAGAGTAAATTTTAGGTAAAAAGCTCCTGGATTCTTGCT